TAATGAGCAACTCGATCAGCTAGCTAGAAATACGATAAGAGTAAATCTTTCGATTGTATGCTCATAAATTTTCAGTCCAGTTACATTTTAACTAGTTGAAACTGTCCGATTAAATGTATTGATCCAAACAACCAAGCGATCAATAGTTTCAAATCAATGGACATGTTTTTAACGTTGCAGGGAAGTTACCACATTTCTCCACCATCAATGTTAGTAAATGATCAAATCTATGCACTAACGGATATGCGTAATTTCCGGCGTACTGTTAACTAATATAGATGTCGTGTCTCATTCTGAGTTTTGCTATGTTAAGAGTTCAGTTTCGTTGGAATCGTTACTTTTCAAAATGTTTTAATTTTATCTCTTTCTGTTAGACTTTTGTTGTTTGTTCGAGTTCATAATGGCCGGAATAAATTCCTCATCATCTTCCACTATGGAGGAATGTGGTGAGTTGACTGTGTTTTAAATTTCTGTTCTCTAAATATCAATGGGTAAGTCCACTGTTCCAAAAGTTGATGATGTCGTATCACTTTATTATCATGATTTTTGATGATCCCTGGCACTAGACTAAGCTGCTGCAGGTTGAGAAGTTTCGTCGTACAACTTTCACTATCGACATCTTTGCTTGTGTTTGTCTCAGTCCCTCATGACTAATCTTGTCAACAAGTCTTTTAATAACTGCTATTCTGTGCACTAGTGTGTCGTGAATGCAACATGAACTATACGATACCGAACTTCTGGTTTTTCGAAGTTGAGTAAGAAATGTGTCATGCAGGTGGCTGAAGAAACTTACACTATTCTCTACATCTCCTTGTTTGAGTCAAACTACTGAATCAAGATTATCAAGCAACTCTTTCAGTTTTACGGTGTTTTCAGTTTAAAGAAATGTTCAGACTAACTCAAAAGTTATATCTAGGTAAGCGAAGCTGATAATCTTGTCAAAAGGTCATGGGTTGTATTGATCTAGAATCACTCGTCGCCATTAGAAAGCTCTAGTACCTTGTGGTAACAACAGCCGTTTGTGGAGCGCTCAAGTGTGCTTTAATTCATGTTATAAAATTCTGTAGGTGGCTTAATGGTTTCTAATTCTCTATGGATAAGAATGTCAGTCGAATAGTCACTATGACGACCAGCTTATCATCAATCGACCTTGGTCTATTGCTGACTTAATCTTATTTAGACAACCTGCACGTTTACGGCTACTGTTTAGGGTTATCACTAATAAGTCCATAAAATGTTGGTTTCCCGTATTTCAAGACACTAATTCCACAATTTTAGGCACCAAACGATCAGGGGTTACCTGATTTCTGCGTCAAGCTGTTAACGACGAAAGCAACCTAGCTACAACTCCCCCTTTGGATGTACTAAACATGGAACTAGGTGAACCGAGAATTATAGTTCAAAATGGCACTACCTACCCTCAACGAGTCAGAAAAAACTATTATGGAACCATATAAGTCTTAATTTATTTTATAAATACAAATTTAGGCGTGAACAACTGTAAATTGTTAAGCTATGCTTTTAGTGTATACATGAGAATAAGTCTGGTACCACAATTAGCAACCTTTAGATTCTTGTTAGCTTTAGTTGATTTGTGTTTATGATACTCCTGTATTAGCAGTTTCTAGCATACATTACTGTCATATAATAGGATTTAGTAGGTAGAAATTAGAAATAAACAGTGGGTACTTTCTATCGAAAAGTTTTGGTAGTCTAGAACTATAGATGCATGAAAGTGCAGAATTATGGTCTACTATGATATTAGCACTGCTTTAATAATAGACCTATCCTAAAATTGTAGATTTATCATGATGTAACTGCCTAATCTATAAGATCTTACGTGGAAGTTACATCATCGTCTACATCAACTCATTGAGTTGTAACAATTACCAATACGTGATAGAGAACAAGCTTAGGCTACGGATAGAATATATTTAATATGAATAAAAGATACAAGATAACATTCAGCTGGGACCACGCATGCAAGACCGAGCCATGCCACCTGACCAACTCGTATCAATTCAATCCATTATTCCCGCCTTCTCCATTGTTGGGTATTTCCCAGCGTTAAATGTTGAATGTCCATTTTCCATTTTGTCTCGTGCTAGGGCTCAATGTCACTACAAAGGCACCTGCATCTATGGTATATGTAGAATACATGGATATACATGGATACATGTTATGTACATATATATGGACTAATAAGTTTATACGAATAACTGTTGAATATTATATCATTATTTACAGTTTGTGATGTTATAAAGTTCGTTCGATTAGAGTGATGCTTGTTAGTGTATTTAGTATGTAATCTAGGTAAACAATTCCACATATGAATTGAGCAAACATTGCCGAGTGTTCACTACTATGATATTACAAAGTGTTGATTCAACGCAATTTTTTGATAAGTTTATGGTTGCTATAAAACAACCATTGGAAAGACCGAGTTTATTAGTTGTTAGCAATAGAATTTAGGACGCGTATTTCGTTCTACATGGGACTCGTCAGCCGGATAGAATGTAACCTATAAATCTTAATTCAATTCATATAATTTTGTTTCGCGAAATTATTCATCTCACAGCGCCTTCTATGTCGACTACAAGAGGTTTATGACTATTTTGGAAGTGTACACTACTAACAAAAATTAGGTTTCCTAACGTCTCGTACAACTTACATTTCATGTTTGTGCCGAAAAGGCTTGACGCCCGAAGACAAATCGAAAGATAGTTTCGAAGAATTAAGACATGTGTTGTGCACCCGGACGTGTTTACAAATGATATGATGACTAAAAGAACATATATATTTACACATCGTTTAAAACTATGAATTGATATTGATGGACATACTAGAACATCTTTCACAAATCACGACTCTTGGATCCATTTCCTGATGAAAAAATTGAAAAATCATGTAGTATGAAGGATTCTCAAGAGAGAACTTTTCTTAATGAAAAAAATTAAGTGTTTCCATTTATTGTATGCTCAGACACATTTGTTTTGCAATAATTTCTCCTTAGCGTGAATACATTTTAATAAACATTTTGGTATAAACGGAAAGCTGAGGTATCATGTACATGCATCTGTGCGTTGAAGTGATAATTTTTACCTGCAAGCAACCTAAATCATTTTTTGATCCACAATCTTTTCCGACATTTATCTTCCAGAATGTAATAGAACCTTTTTTGAAAGCTCCTAGTTAACTTAGATGACTACAGTGATTCAGAAATCAAGATGAACAGCTTTTTAAACAGGTAAGAAGTTCTGTTTCGCATGTTTATCTTGTCTATTTTCCTTCCCGTTCGACTGATTTTTCGTATATCGCCTCGTACTACTTCTTAATCATCCCTCCTGCGTGCTAGTGATTTCCAATTTGTGCTTACAAATTGTTAACATTAAACCAAGCTACCAGCCGGAGCCTGCTCCTTCGTAAGTTATAACCATTCTTTGAATTTCTCTTACGGGAAACCTTACTTTTCGTGGAAACACGGAACCATTAAGAATACGAAATACATCATAAGCTGAGGTTTGTAGCATACAAGTGTATATTCCACATTTATGGAACCGTTTTATTGAAGTCATTGCATTTTTTGAAACTCAGTTTTGTAATGAATGCTGATATATCTATCATGTACCACTTTCACAGTCGTTTTCTGTAACTTTGCTGAACTTTGCTTTGAAGAGTGTTCGGTTTCATGATCCGATCTTCGTTCACTATAGTCTGTCAAGCAATCATTCTGATGTTCATTTATGCGGTGATAAACACAAGGTCTTTTTTCACTCTCAAAAGGGCATACCATTAAATATCCTTACCTTTTGATATCAGTGTTCCTGAAAAACCATATTCTCCGGCTTTTAATTCATGCCGAATTTGAGTTACTGGATATTTTGCCGAAAAACCGTTATGCATGATCTTATATGTCTGCTGAAGTTATATCACACCCACGGAGTGCGCGTTTATGTAAATATCGTGGTAGGGTGTGATTCATTTTCGATATCTTTCTAACCAACTATTGGTGATCTCTCGTTTACTTTATAGTTTTGTCGAAGCTTTAGTCGTTCTAGTATGCAGATATTTTTCTACCCATACAAATTTCGTAGTGATACAATTTGTTTAGAGATTTTGACGTCAAGTATGGATTCTTGAATGAAAAGTTCCAATCACTCATAACAAATCGTTTTCAGATCTGTAGTTGACCTAAAATTCATCACACACTTATATGTTAGCATGCTTGCGTGTTGTAACTACTGAGTTTCTGGTCCCATGCGTGACATGAGAACTTACCTGAAAGGTACTTAACTCATTGCATTTTTTATTACGTGCATTAATCTTATCTGTGTAGGGGCATATTATTTGAAGTGTTTGCATCGTGGCTGATTGAACTTCAGTCTAAACTATCCATTTGCCTGATCGCAACGTACTTCATCCAATAATCCATTCTACGGTCAAATTAAGAACAAATGGCATAAGGAATTTTAAATGTTACCGCTGAAAAATCATTCCGTTAAATATATAAGTTACATAAGTTTACATGAACGAAATATTGCTTCGAGACTTCATAATATGCCTTTAAGATACAAAAAATTATCTTAAAATCTTTCGGTGCACAATTTACAGCTCGGTAAATCAAAACTGACCCACGTTATCTTCAGTCACGTGTGGCGTCGGAGTTATGGAAGCGCCATAAATAATATGACTAATATGAAATTTAAGGAGAAAAATTTACACCTCGTTTACAAAAATTCTTTAGCATTATACTTCTGTCGATTAGGCGGACGAAATTATGGAGGTAATAACTATGTTAACATAACAAATGTTTCGTGGATGTAATAAAATTTCTCCACCATCTCATTTAACTACAAATTGTATTAACCAGCCACATTTGTGAACATATCGTGATCGTACATGTTTATGTGTGCTCAACTATCATATGTGAAAACCGAAATGATCTTTTGTCTAAATAGAGAGTCGTTTAAATACGTCAACGCTAATCATCAAGGCTCTGAGAGTTCATTGATGGCCTTCGAGAAAATTTGAAACGTCGACATCAACTAGGTTTACATAATCCGTTCGTCTACTGGGATTGCTCAAGAATATACTGTCCGTTAAAATGTCTTCAACTATGCTTCTGGCTTCTAGGCGTTTGACGCCGCTTTTCAGGACATCTCAGAGCTTCCCTTTATTACGGTACTATTTAAAAACGGATACTGGTGCAAATCAAAATCCTTCCGGAAGAAAAATCAAGAAACTCATGGTTGCTAATCGAGGTGAGTTTTATTATATAAATTGTTAAATACTTAAGTTTTGGAACTGTTGCTATTAATTGCTTGATTTTGTCTGTATGTTTTACCAGGGTCCATAAATCCGCGTGTCGACAATTAACTGCGTAAGGTCTTCATTAATTCGTAAACTTTTTGGATCACTATATATAGCAGTGTTTAGTGGTCGAGCTTGCTCACTGATACGCTGACGTCATGTTTCTACTGAGTTTCGCAAAATATACGAAGTACTTGTGAACCCGTTTGAAGTTTTCTTTGCTTAGCGATTTTGAACAAGTAGTAATTATCAGTTAGAGGTAGAAAATTTCATTATAGAGGTTTTCTGTGTGTTTCTCTTTGAAAACTGGAGTGAGATTTTACTACAAGGGGTGTTTTTACACCCTGTCCGCTTCTGTCGTCCAATCACATTCGTATAACTGGCTCACTGTTTACGTAAACTGACACTCAATTTTTCGTATGTCTTTACCTTCCCGTTACCTGCTAGCAAACCTAATATAACGATTTAGAAATTACTTCGATTAGTGGTCGGTAACTGAGTAATGTGGCTCAGAATTGTTTGCCAATCCATATCCGCCCCATGCTCTATGTTGAAGACTAGTGACTGATTAAACAGGTTCCCATATAAATGTATGTCAAAACGTATTACTGTTTATAACTTTATGATGTTTATATCCATTCAGATTCCTATATTCGATCCAAATATATTCAAAATGTGTGACAGGTTTGCCGAACATTATCGTGAAGCGATTAGAAACAAAATTCGCTTATTCCATCTGATTTCTAGTTTTTATAAGTTTAGTGGTTTCTAAACTAGTAAACTTTTATGAACACCGGTGACGAGTAAATTATAACAAATTATAACAAAAAATGACTTGATTATGGTTACTACACATCAGCAACGTGTCGAAAGCGGACTAAAATGAAACTAGTTCCTCATGAAGCACGAAAAACATTCTCAATTAAACTAGCACAAGCTCACTCAGAGTTTATGAGGCTGAAAAGGGTAGAGGTTATTTACAACTAAGAGGAGCAGCAGGCTCTTATATTCTAGCTTCAGAGATCTTTGGGGATGACATTCCAGTTCTAGCAGTTAATTTGATTAAGATATCAGCTAAAATCTGAGAACTGGACATAATTTCTACTAACTGATCCTGATCGTTGGTTATTGCGGTTCATAAGGAAGGTAAAATATTTTCTGATTATAAATCGGTTTGACTAATACAGTATCTAAAATATTAGCCTGAATAGTCATCCAATGCTTAACTTTAGCTCGTAAAGAGCGAACCTGGGGAAACAGGCTGGAGTCAGACCTGGGCGTGTTTGTGTTGACCAAATATTCACTTTTCATCAGGTCTCACAGCACGCGCACACTTGTTGAAGTCCAATGATATTGTTTTATCTAGACTTCAAAGTAGCATTTAACTCTGTTAACTGAGAGGTTTTGTGGAAATGTTTATTTTCGAGGGGCACACCAAAGAGGTACATAAAAGTTGTGAAGTTTCTCTACTCAGGTTACTTACTTACTTACTCTCTACTCAGGTACCGTTGGTCAATCCAGAGATTACGGCAGACTCACCAGAACTATCAACCTCAAGTTGTATGCGTTAGGGTTTCCCACTAATTGCCTTTTTATTTGATTTTGGAACATATATCATCTTAAAAATAGAACTCTTTGTCTGACTTTTCACTTTATGTCATCTAAGGATGTTCACTTAGCGACTTATAATATATAGATTACAGTTTTACCTTATGGAAACGAATAGATACAGAATCCTCTGACTGCCTTAAACAACAATGGTAGCATGTTTAGACTATGTTTTTCTCCTTTTGAATGAAAATTTTACTTGATGACCGGCCTTTGTCAACGCCTGAACTAGTGATAGAAAGTGCGATGATTAGACGCGTCGACTACACTTGTCTTGAAAGTCTAGTTAGCCCTGATGGGTTAGTGTCTGACTAAATCTCAGCACGAATTCAGGAAGCCCAGTTGATTTTCTCCAACTTACATTACTTGCCTCATAGGCGAGATGTCTGTCTGCCAAAAGGCGTATATACTACAGAGTAGTCCCTTATGTTCTACTTTGTGATAGTGAAGAATTGTCTATGACAGTAGAACACATGCTTAGATTGTAGACTTTTGATCATATGTGTCTTTAAAGTATTTCACGCATTCTGTGGAACGACCAATTGAGCAATGTTACTGTTAGGTACAAGGAACTCAAGAAAAGTAGCAAATAGGTTGGTGAAGATATGAATTTTCAGTAACTGAAGTGATTGGAAAATGTGTTATTATGCAAAACCACCGTCTACCTTAATGGTAAATGTTGTCTGATGTAAAATTAGGCTGGAGACAAGCTGGGGTCATGAATACCCAAACGTGGCACCAATTTAGGAATTCATTGACTGTTATTCTCGGCCATAACGGTAGATGCAGACTACTTGGTCATGAGTCTGCGTGACTTTGAGTGATATAGCTTTCAACTGTCCACAATTGAGCAGATGCTCTCGCTCTTTGTCTTACTCTTGACTTCGAATTCCAGTATTTTTTTCACATATATCTTTTTGCTCTGTCTTCAAACCATACTCCCAGTGTTTAATTTTTCTTATTAACGTTACTACTATATGATTTTGATATCTTTTGTTACTCGTTTTTTAATTTAATCTTTTCTTGCTAATATAGTATGGTAACTTATACCGATACACATCTGTGCCGGTTTCTATGTTGATAATATCTGTATGTTTGATGACGTGGACTTATTTTGTACCGTGTACTTTAAATATTTCAAATATGCACTATTTTTTAAAAATGGAATGCATTTTCCGCACAAAGTTGCATTTTTGTTACATCTTATCTTTAAGAAAATCAGTATTTATCTGGAACATGATGTGAACTGAATTTAAATCAATCCTCAGTATTTGTTGCTTTATTTTTATCAAAATGGGACCAAAACGTAATAATAAGGATTTACAGAAATCGATAGCCCAGTATTTGGAACACTTGCATTTTGTCCATTCAATCTCAGATTCTAACTTCACTTCATATACTGAGATCTTTAACATCCATATGGTATAATTACTGCCTTACACAAAGGGCACAGTTCAGTTCTGAGTATAAGACCTGAAACTTGGTAAGTGAGCCACATAAACTATTCATCACAATTTCAAAAAGGAATGAAGTGAGAAGTAAGTGGAAAATAATCACTTATTCATTAGTCATAGAGATAAGAAATCAGGAAACATGAACGACCATTTGGGATAATCATTTTCAGTCTCATTGCTTTTTTATTCGATTGTTATTTTTTAACCTTTCTAAATAATTTACTGTTCTTTTTAGAACTTATGACCAATTATCAGAGGCTTCATAAATTAGATCATTTAATATATAATATTTCTCCTTTGTTTTATTTTATAGCATAAGATGGTAAGAAATGGTAGTTACACATTTTATCTGTAACAATAACAATTCTAGTTTTATCATTGTTATTGTGAAATAACATGCAAATTTTCTTTCATTTTCTTCCCTCACTTTATTCAACAAGTCTCATTTTCACCCTAACCTCTTTTATTTTAAAGGTGAAATTGCAATTCGTATTTTCCGTGCATGCACTGAAATGAATATTCGAACAGTGGCTATTTATAGTGAACAAGATAAAATGCAAATGCATCGTCAAAAAGCTGATGAATCATACTTGATTGGGAAAAGTTTACCACCGGTGGCTGCTTATCTTAATATTCCAGAAATTATACAACTAGCTCTAGTATGTTCAACAACTATTCAATACATATGTATACACTTTTATTTTATCCAATTAGGATTTTATTATTCGAAGAGGTGATTTTCGAGTATTAAAACGTAAGAAAAGAATGCTGATCGGTGAATGAACACTGCTATAACATGATGTGGTCGTGTTATGGGTTTTCACGAGATTAAATCATCGACGCAAGCTCCTGAATGATTTTAAACTAAAAACAAGAGCATTGGACAGAATAGCGTTTTTTCTACTTTAGAAAGATATGGTTGTGTACTAATATCAACACAAAAATAGCGTAATAAAATGTCATAAGCTATTGAAGTAAATCAGTTTGTAGTTTGGTCATTCGCCGTTCAATAAAGACCTAACTCTTAGGCCTAATTCTTGTCGTTTTTATCAAATTTGCATTTGCTTTATTCCAAGAATTACCATGATTATTAAACAATTACATTTCAGACGACCATTGGCATATGAATCAGTGTATGATAACTGACTGTCCTTAATGTCCTACCTTTCACTAAACTTTACCATCTTGATGATCTTGACCACAAGATAACATATTCGAACCGTACTTCTACTTTGTTTCGAGAAGATGAACATTATTGGCACCAAATACATATGAGCCACACAAATCTCATTTGATTTGTGTGAGGGCTGTGATACTGCCCGGGTACCCAAACCGAAGCGCACACACACAATACTCACTCACTCTGCTCGTCCACCACCACCACCACTAATATGCAATCGATTTGTCAGTAGAATTAAAACTGATTTAGTAGTGTAAGGCATTCAACTTCAAACCACTTGTTTTAACATCCAAAGATTTTTTCATCTAAAGAAATTTATGCATAGCAATATAGTATCATCAACTATCACATGGTCAGTATAGTTGATAACCTAATATGCAACTATGTACGTGTGTTTTCTGAATTACATCCTATTATCAGGTTATTATTGAAGCACGTTCTGTATATAGTATAAAGTTAGGTCACTAGTATTGTGTATACTTACAAAGATAATTTGTGTTTATTTTGAAAGAAAAGTGTTTATTTCAACCTTCATCAATGCATTTGTCATCTATCTCTCATATGTTTACGAACAGAATTCGCCACAGCATACATGTTTGTTCTTCAGTTCACTTCACCAATTAATCATTACAAGTAACATTATACGTGTGTATATAGCCGTTACGCTCTTTCTCTATTCCTACAATTTGACTACCGTAATACCTATCTTTTATCTTTACTCTTTAAAAAACAATCATTTTCTGTTTCTGTTGTTCTTTTTTGTTTTATTATATCAACCGTAGAAACATGATGTAGAAGCTATTCATCCTGGTTACGGATTTCTTAGCGAACGATCGGAATTCGCACAAGCTTGCACTGATGCTGGAATTATATTTATTGGACCACCGGCTAAAGTTGTAAAACGTATGGGTGATAAAGTCGAAGCTCGACAAGCTGCTATTAATGCAAATGTTTCAGTAAGAATATGTAGATGTTATTTTGAAAAATATTCTGTATTATGTTACAATAATTCATCGCTTGCTGCGAACTATGTTTAGTCTATAGAGAAAAGTTTACTTGGACAAATATTGTGTATTTTCTTAGAATCGATTTCTCCGAACTGGGTAATTCAGTCGTGAAGCTTCCATTTTCTTTTTCTGGACAACTCCATTCACATTTCTATCCAAAGTTTGCATTGATGATGTTACCTATAAAGACGGTGAAAGCTTCACAAATAAATCACCTCCAGCTGAAAGAACAATTAATACTCCATCAAAATCATCCTCCTGAGCTACAGGTATTCTCCACCATTCATCATAACACTGTACTTGTTTAACAGTTTAATTGATACGAAATTAAAGAAAAGGAGAGATGTTAAACTAATTGAAAATTGAATTGGAATTTCATTTTTAGCCTAACTTTAACATATGGATAAAATAGTAAAATTAACAAATTCATTACTTGTAAATAAAGAGAACAAATAATGTCAAGGAGGACAAATAAACACTCGTGTTGATAAGTTACATAATCAATGATTGCTACTGTTACTCAATAAGTTCCAATAAACACACAGCATAATTAGGCGATCATATTGAAAATCACTGATTAAAAATCGTAATTAAATATTTTTTCCCAATTTAAACCAAAATTTGTGTAGAAAACGTTCCATTTATTATAAAAAGATTTTTTGCTGTTTAAAATATTTGGACGCTTAATTTCTCAAGTTATTAATCATTAATTTCATATAATTTCTTACATAAATGCCCTTATCCTACTAAGAGTAGCGAGTAAGATTAAAGCATGTACGAATGAGTATTAGGAATGTTCAGATAGAACTGTATTTGACCGGACAGGAAGTAAGTATTTCCATAATCATAGAATAAGTTTCCAATAAATAATCTTCATCACTAACTGAAATCACTTGGGGGGATTAAAAAAGAACAACTATTTTGTTCTGATTGAGGACCTGTCAATAGTGCTCAATCACGAAGCTTACATGAAATTAAGTCTGACTCTTAGGTCTCACTGTCAGCGTAGTTCCTTTAAGGCGATTGACCAAAATCCTATCGATCTATAATTTCAGTTTTATTTTCTAAATTTAAATCACAAGCTCATCTTAGCTAAATCACCAGTAGAAACCAGAAAACCCTGGGAGGCCGTTCCGTCTTAGTATGGGTCTCTCTATCATGGTGGATCCACGACCCCAAACTCAGGAGCAAAACCTAGGACCTTTGATCTTGCGCTCGAACACTAAACCTCTAGACCGCTGAGTCAGTATTCAACAGTGTTAAGGTGCGGGTTCAACCAATCCACGATACTGCACAACCCTCACCCATGGTCATGAATGGACACTTCTTGGGTAGTCCCATACCAAAACGAAGCGGTCGTTCAGGGCCTCTGGGTTTTCAATGGTGATCTATCTAAAATCAGCTCGTGATTGAAACTGATGATACCACAATCTCCACAAATCCCCAATACTTTCAACTTTAGTCAGTTTATGATCTTGCACAATTACCAACTGGTAGGATTGATGATTATCTGCATCATTAGGAGATTCCCAGATCTCATAGATTACATCCTCTTCCAAGAACTTTGATGAATTTATCCTAAAACTAATCGTTGGTTATTACATAATTTCAACTCAGTATATCTAAAGGTATCGTGCTCACCGTAATAATTTAAAGATACCAGGATTAATCTCGTGTGTTGTCGTTAATGTGCACTGTTGATGAAAAGTTTGAAACTAATATGTAACATTATTAGTAATCGTTCGAGGTATCTCTTTGATAATATTCAGGACTGAATTTCGATCATTTTGTGTTTACATCTGAATATCGTGTGCGGTTCGCCTCGATATACGGCTATTCTAACGTTAGTTATCAATATCAACACAGATACGGATACATCCAGCTAGAGAGTCCTAAATAGGACAAAACACCCAGCCTAGCTTCCACTTCTAGCTACAATCCACCTATTCTAAATATGATTTGATAGTCAGTTGTCCAACATTTCATTTTCATCTATCTTTTCATATATATATATATATATATATATATATATATATATATATATATATGGGTGTTCAATTTTCAACCACTTTCTTCTCACTATCAACGTTTTATAATAATTTCTATTCAGGTTGTTCCTGGTAGTCCTGGACCGATTACTTCTTCTGAAGAAGCTATGGAATTCTGTAAACAGTATGGATTACCAGTTATACTCAAAGCAGCTTATGGTGGCGGTGGTCGTGGTATGCGTGTAGTTCGAAGACTTGAAGTACGTTTTTGTGTAGATGCAAATATATATGTTGTCGTTAAGTTCTTTATTATGTCCATGAAAATGCTCATCTGATTTGGTACTGGGAAACCATAAATTGGATGATAAAATTAAGGAACACGAAAGGAAAAGGGTTTGTTTGACCCCAAAAATAAACTAGAATGATCTATGAATATACTACTTTTTTGTGATTTATTTACAGTCGGATTTATAAATTGAGTTCATTAGCATCTAACATTAATTGGTTAATAACTTACTCTGTGAACTCATAATATACAATTAAGCATATATAACCAACAGATATATAGTTGACCAAGTCATCTGATTGCTCCTTCACAAAATGCGACTACATGTCACAAACGATCAGTTTTACATATTAATCACACTTCAATTAATTAAATCACAAATCGCTGTGTCATTTTTATTTCTTTCTGGTATTTATTGAGAGGTATACTTTATCAAATTCTTCCCAAATTATGATAAGATTTGAGAGGGAACAATATTTATTGCAATAAATCCGAAATACAGAGATACAGAAATAAAACAGAGTTTCTAAAAAAAATTACATAAGAATCTTTCCACATCTCTATTCGCCCACCAGTGCTCATTAATTGAAAATGGGAAAAATCAGTGGGTTTCAAGTTGAACCTAACTAGACTATTCAACAGTCAGGACTCTATCCTGTTAAAAATTGTAATTATCGATACAGTGTCATTTATTAACAACTAGATAGTCAAATTCATATACGAAACGCTTATTTTTGTAGGGATCGACAATTGTCACCTGTTGACCAAAAGAGAGAGAAAGAAAGAAGAGCATATGTGGTAATGTTGTATGACTATCAATCTATAACTGAAAATTGAGCGCTACTTGTACAGATGTAGGTCAATTACATCTGTAAGGTCATCTTTCCGTTTTTCAATGTTCAGTAACTGTGCTGCATCCAGAATCTTTTGGACGTTTTTGTTTTCATTTAGTGGATGAGTGCTGCGTATAGAATGTCATTTTTGCTGGTGATTTCAAGCATTTAAAGTTATCAACGTCCGTACACTATGAACTCGTCTGTGCGATACATCCTAACATGGTTTATAAAAACGAAAGTACAGTGAAAGTTGGGTCTTAAGTTGAAATGTTCAGTGAAAATCACACTCTTATATACAACACTCATCTACTAAATGAACGGCGAAATTCCCGGAACTGTTGGACATTGTACACTTATTGAACATTGAAAAGTGGATGGATAACTTCAGACCAATCATACTTAAAACAGAAAGAAAGAAATTGACTCATTCACCTTGTATTTAGGTATGAGTCTTACTCTAAGTGTAAGGGCTAATAATACTACCCTGTTGTCCAAACCGAAGTGGGTGGAGCAAGGTTCGAACCCAGTACTAAGTGTTTGGTAGTTGAATCCCTTAATCACTAACCCACCTCTCCATAATCATCCCATCTCACATTATACTATTAGGAGAACTTTAAGGATTTCCATGTTTAAAAAGTGTATTTTTGGAGTATATGTAGCTTGAAACATACAAGCATTTCAAGGTTTCAAAAGTTTAAAATATTTTACTTCAAGTTTGAACTTTACGTAGTTGTAATACGGTTAACAGTGACCGATACTTATCCCTTTTAGGAATCAAATTACATAGAAAGTAAAGTGACAATAGAATTCATGATTCCAACAACTGAGAGTGAATTATACCATACATATATTATGAAATAGGATTTTGATGATTTTATAAACAGATTTCTAATTGTCAGAATAAAAAAAGGAATGCCGATGGATAAATGACATGCAATGATATGAAGTGGCCAGAGGTGATGGATGCGTACGAGACTGTATTAATGAAGTAAACCACCAATCAAACCGATCTCAAACGACAATACAGTTGCCCTGTAGAATAGACTTTTTTCTTAATAAAATATTAATAGAAATATACACATGATTATATGTCATTGGCGATTGGAGGAAATCTATTTTGTAGACTACTCACTAGCCAACTAATCAAGACCTTGACATTATGTCAGTGTATAGCAGTCTGTTCCAAGGTTGACACTAATTTACTATAACTAAAACTGTTTATTTTAAATACTTGTAATCTTCACTGTTTGTATACATGAAGATATGATCACTCTGTAAATAATGTCTATTCGCAATCAATCGATCATCGACTAGTGAGCAATGCCATTGTTGTTTAGTCAATTAAGTACTAATCTAATTCTCTCGATCAAGTTACAGTGTGATCACCAGTGTAAATAACTAGATATCGCTTACACTACCCAACATTTTGATATCACAGGGAATGTGATGTCGAATCACTTAGACCAGTGACCACATTTCAAATTTGTCGGTAGAATTTGATCGTAAGCATCTCAGTTTTATTGAGTATTAATTAGGACCTGAATAATTCAATCTTAACAACTCAGTTTGTAAAACTAGGTGAGGTGTATTCGAACCCTACAGAAACCATCAGTTCCCTTGAAATTGCAAATACATCTTGCTGACAGGTCCCGAATATCACGAAACCTCAACAGAGTAGGGTTTCTTTCCAGCTACTCTCAACTACCTAATAAAATAACTTTATTCATACCGTATACAAATGTATGTATTTATAATACTATCTAGATATTCAAAGTGAGGTTATAATTCGTCTAAATTACTAAAACACATGTTCATTTGAACGTTTAACGTTAGATGCTAAAGGATATTGAGGTGACTCTTTGCTACTAGATAATCATCATTAGTTGATTAACTGTTGAAACTACTTTCAAGGTAATTTGAGAAACATTTGGTCTGTTAATTTGAAGAAAAATAAGAGTTTGATGTTTGTTTACCAGTTAAATGAAATAAAGGTGACTTCCACTTTACATTAGTGGGGATGTAACTTTTTTCGGAAGCCAAGTCATGTAATACAATATAGCATTGAAATTTATTGATAAGATGGTTTTGTTAAAATAACCGTTGAAAATGTGACAGAATTTGTTAAAAAGATAAATAATTCTATCATTGATATCTCGTTGAACAACGATTTTAGACATACTTCCTATTTTAATTCTTATTCCCAGCACAATCTAATCCTAATAACGAAGAAATCTGATCAGACGAAGCAAATACTGCGTATATATTTAGTTATAATGTTATTATAACTTTTACAGCGTATCAAAACTGACACTGGTTGAAAGGGAATAAAGGTTGTTGCTCTCTCTCTCTATCTATCTGCATCTCTCTCATTTACTACTTTACTTGGGTTTCATTTTGTTCATCTCAGTTAATCAAGTTATCTTCTTTAAAAGCAATCCAGCCTTCTTTATAAAGGGTATAAAGGAAATAACTTTGTGCTACTTTCTTCAATATGTTATCTGTTCAAACATTATATCTATATCTATTTTTCAACCTTACTTATTAACCTTTATTATTTTAAATTTGTTTGAAGTGAACAATTATGTATGTAAATTATATGTGGTCAGGAAATATTTAAAATTTTTTAAACTGTGTTCTGCTTTCTGACCTAGATAGTTTAGTCGTAAAGTATTTTACGTATGTTCCGATAATGTTTAAAAGAACTATGAAAGCTTCATAAATAAACTATCCGAGCTTAGTGGACACAATACCTCATATATTCTCATCACAAGCCGCAAATATTCTTTATCAGCTATCAGAAAAGCCTTACAACTTAGTGGAATGCTAAATACAGGAAATTTCACATTGAGAGATTGGACTTGCTGAGATATTCTTCTCCCTTTTTTCCCCATTAAGAAAAGTAGGGAGACGGATATATTAGGATTCATGCATCTCTTCTTTATTCTGGATGAAAAAAGTAGATATGCCAAATGAGCTGGTAGAAAAGTTTACCTCTAAAGACCAGTGACATATTGCAACTGTTAAAAATCTTTTTAAAATACAAAATTTTGTAAGTACTAATTCTGTGAGGGCAATTGATCAATCGATAAACATGATGACGCAATAGAAAGGTGATAATACTAGATAATAACAATAAAATATTATGTGCGTGCAAATAGAAAGTCTTGTAAGATTAGTAAGTCAGCAACAGAGTATGATGTGCTTGAAGATAATTAAAATGTTTTTATCAGAATGGAGGTTTGTGGAGATTGTAGTAACTTAAAAGTTGAATTCATGAGTCCATTAGAGCTAGACCATCATTGAAAACCTGGAAGCACTGGACGGCCGTCTCGTCCCAATATGGAACTCTTCATTAGTGTGCTCAGTGGTTTAAAAGTTAAGCGTTCTCACGAGACATAAGGTACTGGGTTTCATTCCCGCCTGTGGGGGCGTGGATGCGTACTGCTAAGGAGTTCCATATTAGGACGAGACGGCCGTCCAGTGCTTCCAGGTTTTCAATGATGGTCTAGCTCTAATGGACTCATGAATTCAACTTTTAAGTTACTACAATCTCCACAAACCTCCATTCTGATAAAAACATTTTAATTATCTTCAAGCACATCATACTCTGTTGCTGACTTACTAATCTTACAAGACTTTCTATTTGCACGCACATAATATTTTATTGTTATTATCTAGTATTATCACCTTTCTATTGCGTCATCATGTTTATCGATTGATCAATTGCCCTCACAGAATTAGTACTTACAAAATCTGACTGATTCTAATGTTTATACAGTTCGTCTGCATCTACCTAGCTTTCTTCGTATCCAACTTCTTAAAATAACAGAAGCTCTTGCCACCAATGAGCTGAAGCCAGGATTGTGTGTACCAAAGAAGCCCGTTTTATCATTATAGTGACCTTGGCCTTAATCTATTATTATTATTAAAAACATTTCGGTAGTACATTTTCTATATCTCAATTTTGATGTGCTTATCTCTTCTTCATGCTTATCCTTGTTTTATTGTAGGATATTAAACAAAATTTTGAATTAGCCTCATCAGAAGCTCTAGCAGCTTTTGGAAATGGTGCAATGTTCATTGAGAAATTTATTGAACGACCTAGACATATCGAAGTTCAGATTTTAGGTTAGTTTATTTATACATTGAGTCGTTTCTCTTTACCAGTGTTGTCGATGTCATTGGATTTCATTTTAACAATGATTTAGCTGTGCATGCTGAAAGCTTTTAATCCATCTGATATGCTTTTTACAACTTTCTGAAACTAAATTGCCCATTTATGCACATTTGAATCATCTTAAGGTGAATTGAATAATAACTTCCTAACCGTAGCTATTACCTTGGCGTAGTGGTCGGGCTTGCATCTTTTGATGACCTATTCAATATAAATTGACTAGGATGCCCATCTCTTTAGGTCCTACTGCTCTAGACAGGTCGGTTGGATAACGTCAGAATTAAAAAGGGAAACTTGAGGCCTGAGACGGGCAAAGTTGTACTGCTGACTGAATGGGCGATTTGACAGCAGTAAGTTACTTCCCTAACACAACCAGGATCTGCAGTGGTTCCAACTTCTCACAGAAGAAAAAGGTTAAAAAAGACCGGGCCCAAAAATAACGTAGCTCACTTTCCCTCAAGAACTACCGTCATCAATGGTAAGGTCTTTAAAATACATGTCTAACACCTCAAGAACAACCCACAAAAATCCCATGTATAGCTGGCCCAGATAGTTATCCTTTGCGCTTTGAGATCACACTACTATATGACTAAAGCCACTACTAGTCCGGATTCTTTCTCGGTCCCTCAAGAATGAGTATCCTTCAACAATTTGAGCAACCGGAGAATGAAAACCACTCGCACACCACTTAAAGCACTTGTACATTTACTTATCGAATGAAATAGCTTGTTTAAATAAATATTTCCCATCATAAACTGCCCACTAGGTTACAACTAAATGACTGGATGCTTTTGTTCTTATAGAGTAACTGGGAAGTTTCAAGTTCACTTCAGTGTGTGATCCGGTGGCACTTACTGCTAAAGGGTTATAAACTAGGCTTTAACTGATTTTGATCCACAATGAGAACTATCATCTATTTTAAATTCGAAAAAAGTGACTTTAAAAAACCGCTGAACTTTAGTACTAATTGTTTATTTGTAAAAGTCACAGTAAGTACCAGTAACCTGTGAAAGTGGACAAGTCAGGAGTAAGTTAGTGAGATGCATCTATCCAATACATAAAAATTTAGTAACTCTCATTCTATTTATGCTCAAGAATCTTCATTTTTTTGGAAGTATATCTTTCCGCTATTTTGCTTTTTTAGGTGATAAATATGGGAATGTTGTACATTTGTATGAAAGAGATTGTTCTGTTCAACGTAGACATCAAAAATTAGTCGAAATTGCACCGGCGCCTAGTCTAGATCCAACTATTCGTAAATCATTATTAAACGATGCGGTACGATTAGCTTCTTCTGTTGAGTATGTTCAAAACTGAAACTATATTTTTCGTGTGTAATATATAAACTTTTTATACTATATTTATTAAACTGCAATTTGATTATAAATCACTTGACTCTCAACAAATCTGGTTGCTTGTTTGACTCCCGCCCATCTACTACTATTTTGACAGCTCGGTTACATGTCATTAACATTCAATTAAAAAAGGTGTGTATGGCTCACAGGTAATTACGTCATGAACTGTATCACTTAACGTTTCTGTATTCAAAACAAAGGAACAATGTGACTGACCTCAATTAAGACAACTTGGTTACGTAGTTGATATTTATGTGTGTATACTTCTGATCAAATGTTTTTTTTTGTTATTAGACCTATACTACTGTCATTAGTAATTATTTTTACTGTAGGGAGATTTATAGAGATTGTTAGATCCTGTGGTTTTACATCACAGATTAACCGTAGTTAGACATCTATTGAAACCTGGAAACAGTGAACAGCCGTTTCGTCTCTAGTATAGGATTGTTCAGGAGTGGGGTACTACACCCCATTTTATCGGGCACCTTCAGGTCTCAGAAGAAGCTCATAACTTTCGGTTAGTAATGAAACAACGGAGACTCATTTCTTTTTCCTTGCCGGTAAGTTTTATGAGAACGATTATAGATAATCGAAAAATAGGGTTTGATATAATTGTTATAAAAACTGGTGCCCATTATGTCCGGATGTACACTTCCCATTCATTGAAATAATTATGTGATTAGTTGTAAATGATTTTTATGTACATTATGATTGGTCAAGTGAAATGGATTGACTGTTAAATGTTTAAACAAGGTGTGCAAACCTTTTTGTTCTTGTTGTGTCTAAATTTATCAAAGGATCTGGTTGTATAAATGCTTATGATTTTCACCTTTTAAAATCGTATAATCAAAAAAATCATCAGTTCTATCGCTTAGAATAGTAGTATTTTAATTGATCTTAGATCAGTCATAAACGAACAGGTAGAACTCTATAACAGCCAGTTTTATTACTCGAGTGAAAAAAAACTGGGAGTAGGATATGAAATTTATTGGCAAAATCGAGTCACATATACGTGTATTCATCCATACATGTCCCTTAGAAAATTAAGCTATCATTGTCTCATACCTTAAAAATAAAAACCATTTCTTGGTCAGTTACGTGCATTTTAGCATTTGGGCGACCTCTAATTAGATCAATGTATCAAGATATAAACACTATCTCATACTTAAATGTGAAGGTTTAACACGTGACTCTATACCAGTGAATAAAAGTTACAATGATATGTTTTTGACGTCCGTAAATAATTAGTGGGTAAATGAATGAGTTACTATATATCCTTGTTTCATCGAAGATCTAACCCTGGATCTTTGGTCTCACTCTCAAGCACTTGACCTCTAGACCCCTGAGACTTGGTCAGTGGAGTTCAAACGTATTAAGTATGAGACAGTTCCCCACCGAACACAATGGTAGATGTTTACACAATCTTACGAACCGACTGAATCTGGACATGTACACCACGAGATACCAATTCAGCGGTTTAGACATTAAGTATTTGTATGCGAGACCGCAGGTCCTGCATACAGTCCCAGATAGGGTGGCGGATGTGCACTGCTGAGCTTTTGATGTTGGGACGAAACAACTGTCCAGTGCTTCCCGATTTTTACTGAATGTTTGACTTACGTTGGTTCGTGATGTCAGTAACTAGAATTAATAGAAAATATAGTTGATTACAATAAACACTGGCTAACAATTCTCTATATCTTGAAATTGTTATTCAACCAATAAATAATTGTAACAAGAAACTTGATGTATTAAACTATAGGGTATTTGTAATTTGTACTATTATTTATATTTATTTATAAAATTATCTTTCAGTATTATTGTATTCTTAATAAAATCATAATATTGACCTCTGGTAGGTTTCCTACTTCTAAATGAAAATCATGTCAAACCGATAGTTATAAATGCTGTTTCTTGTACTATATCCTTATATGCAATTTTTCTTTTATACATTACCACCATTGAATTAACTACTTCTATGAATTCAGTGTTTATTTTGTTGTGCTAATAAGGTATGGCAACTTGGACCGATGCATATATGTACCTAGTCCTACGTTGTAACTGATTGGCTGACTGACTATAAATGCTGTGCTAAGTCTGTCCCGTCAAATTGTTTATAACTACTGGCAGCTCTAAGGGTTTTATGTGTGTAAAATAAGTGATAGGTTGCAGAAATCATGTTAAACTGATAATGAAATGTATAAATGAAATGCTATATTGTAAGAAATACCTTACTGTATAGAAATTGTTTATTCGATTAATCCGTGAAATAGCATATCTTGCTTTATAACGTATAAAATCTTCGTTAAATATATTTCATCGCCAAATAATCAATATTAAATATGATTAGAGAATTAAAGCAAATCAGCGCACAGTACGCGTATTCTTTTCATGGATAAAGATACAAAAAAATAAATATAATATGAAATAATAGGGGAATTTACTTGTTCAATTTTCAATATGAGGTAAATCTAAATACAATTTGATAATATATATAATCAAAAGATAGATGGCTCTTAAGAAGAGCTGGTTTCGTGCTCTATTTTTTTGGTGCTTGTAGAGTACTCACAGTCGATATTCAGCCTTTAAGTGAACTTAAGCAAATTATTCTTTTCATCCTGCTGATATTTATACAACTTCTAAGTCTTTTCATAGTTCTCTTTATTTCATCGATTTAGACGAATGTATGTTTTTTTTGTCTGGAAGAGTTGATTGATAAAACACATCTTTATTACATATTAAAGATGTCCTTTGGGTATGTACACAAAATCCATAATCTTGAATATAGTCGTACCAAAAACATGAAGTGACTTAACGCTCTCCAACTACCTTCCCAGCAAACAAACTTCAAGTATGATTTTTGATTCTAAATGATACAGGACTCCATTCACGAATTGTGAAACGACAATTATATTGCTTATTTCAAGTCATCTAAATAAGTACTTTAACGCTTATAGTGAGGGATATGCCAATACGAACAACATATTCAAGAATCGATTCTTCCTGATTGTGACCACATTCATACTAGAATGTAGACTAGTGTCAGATCGATTGTTATAGCTCGTTGTTATGATAGAAGTAGTTCTTCAACAGAGTTTTAACATTTTATATCCACCCTAATGTAACAGTAACCAATGATATCATTCTTCAAATCACCAATATTATTGGGAGAAGGTATGTAAAGATTTACATTGATGATAAGATGGTGTAAATAATAAAAATAAATTTTCATAGTACTATACTTATTCTTAAACTTCAGAACAAACGACTAAACGGTTTAAATTTTTAATTTTGATCAATTTAATGTTAAATTTTGTTTGTGAAAGATTAACTTAATAATCAGACTGATTCATATTATCAATTTTGGTGTTAACAATTTGTTTTTCATATTCATCGTACAAAAATAATGAATCTGAATTTCAGAAATAATTTAGTTCCATAAGTATTTTTATTGTGCATGAATTGACTACAGCCATATTGTAAGGCTAGTGTATCTTTATGTTCATCATATAAATCCCATTAAGTGATCTACAGAGTCAAAGGAACTGGATTGACGGGGTGTTGAATCAATATTTTATGCACTGCTAAGGCATTGGCGATCCATGGACTCAAGCCTGAACTTTGAGTGCAGAAACGATTCGTCCAACCTCTCATCCTTCCTTGGCCCTAATTCCCTTAGTGGGATTTATGCAATGAATATGGAGATACATTAGCCTTACAATATGGCGGTAGTTAATTGGTGCACCATTTAGTTCGAATTAGAATTTTAACTGAACAATAATTCTATCATTCACTGATTTTTAAATGTTATCATCCAGATTATAAAACATGATTCTTTTGCGACCAAAGCTTTGTCAAAAGTTAGAATTGATTATCTTGTATAGGAATTACTTAAATCACAGTAATATTTCTCGATTTAAATTCTAACTACTATTAAAACCTAAACTAACTTGGTTTTAAGAAGTAAATTAAAAGATTGCTGGTAAGTTGAACCAATCACACATAGGCCAAAAGATAAACACAGGTCATTAACCGTGATTCCGTCTTCATTTCTAAAGTGAGGGGCACACCATACTGATTGAAAATCTAACTTTATTTCTCAAGCGAGAAAGATGTACATCTTTACATGAGTATACATATGTATTCTTTATTAAATTTTGGTCAACAAAGCTTACTTTTCGGTTTCAGTCCCGGTTTTCCCATTCAACTAGTTAACTCCAACTAGGGTATATAAAGTTTGTGTATCTGTATCGAATTCGAACAACTCACATCATAGCAGATAATTGTTCCATATGCCCGTGTCACTATAGTATATATACGGAAATCATTTGTATTGCGATGCCTTACTAGAAATTCTAATTGATAAGTTTATCAATAAACTATGGCTAGTTTGTTTTATGATGACTTATTAAATGTAATACTCACGGACATTTTTTAAACTGTTTCAGATCTATGTTTCTGATTATTACTATTTTTTTAACTTTTAGTTATGAAAATGCTGGTACAGTTGAATTTCTATATGATCAAACAACTGGACATTATTATTTCATTGAAGTTAATGCTCGTCTTCAAGTTGAACATACTGTTACTGAAGAAATTACAGGGTTAGTTTGAAGTAAATGTAATGTTTTCATTTTCAATAATTTTAATCACCTATTATTATTGTGTTAAAATAATTTTATAATAGCGTCATGTGTGCATCCTGTGCGGATGGCTTCGATATTGCATTAAGCAAACTTGTCTGGACTTCTTCAGGGTAACAATCAAAATCATCAAAGAAATATATAGCGTTTAACAATTAAATCAGATCAAATCTATACTGTGCTACTCCAATCACATTTGGATGTTGACTTTATTATATCGGATAACATGAGTCAGTTAAATGCGAATCATGTGAAGAGTTCACGATATGAAAATAAATAACTGAACCAATTGTGTGTGTATGTATGTATGTATGTGAAGATTGAATTATTAATAATAAGTCTGCGATAGGGTTACATGCGTTGAAAACAGGACAGAAGATTGATTTCTAAGGGACCAAAATACTTCAGAAAGGTTTTAACATTCAGAAAGAAAGATTTAACAGCAGAAGCGCTGTATATATGGGCTAATAAGAACAGCCTGAATCGAAAGGATGGTATTCAACTAGCAACTACTTGGCAAATTTTCGTTAACAAATAATTAGATCCGTTCTTTATTATTAGCAATACAATTATGTATTTAATAATTCTCATTTTACATGCACATCAATGATTCAGAAACAATTTTCAACCATCAACTTGTACTTTTATTTATTACCCCACATACACAATTCATTCAGTCATTTATTTTCACATCGTGAACTCTTCACATGATTCGCATTTAACTGACTCATGTTATCCGATATAATAAAGTCAACATCCAAATGTGATTGGAGTAGCACAGTATAGATTTGATCTGATTTAATTGTTAAACGCTATATATTTCTTTGATGATTTTGATTGTTACCCTGAAGAAGTCCGGACAAGTTTGCTGGACGAAACGTTGGAATTATTTTACGCTTCAAATGCTGAGATTTTTTCAAATATAATTTTCACATATAGTGATTATTAGTTTCCCTGTTTAAAAATTCTTTTAATACCTTTGCTTATTCTACCACAATGTTACCATGTCTAACAGAAGTTTGTTATCATTATTATTGTAATTATTATCATCCTGAAAAAAATAAGTATATATATTTGCGATTATACAGCTTTGAAACTCAATTCGCCGAAAAGAGAACTCTTTGCTGAACCAATTTTATCTAAAAAATAAACAACTATCTTATATTCCCTGGTTTCTTTCAGTCGTTCCACACCCGAAATCGATCCACGATGAATACGACCTATGAAATGATATTTATCTTAGCAATATAATTTTTTTATTCTTTAAATAATTATGTTTTTACATTAATTTACTAAGATAATAGTTCATTTATTCACATAATCTCACTTGCAAACATTATAATGTGGAAGTAATCAATAACAATGTGAAGTAATCCACCGAAACAGCCAACAGATCAGCGTTAAGTAATAATAATAATATGTACACTACAAAACAATTATTTAGTGCACTGGTTATCAGCCGTCAATATTATTGACTGATTGATAAATAATGGGAAGATTATTGACATTAGAAGAATGAACGATTCTAAAAAATTATTCACTGTACGGTTAACAAGAGCATTTGATTTCATTCTTTAGACCACAAGTGTATATAAGATTATAAGCTATTAGTGAGTAATGATTTCTGTTTTTTTGTTAATAACTTGATCTGTAGAATTCCATAAGCACTAAAAGACCAGGAAAATAGGACATTAGTTACTACTCAGTGATCAATCAGCTGCAAATATATCCCACTCCTATAGGGGGTTAATTGTGGCTCGAATAGCTCAGTAGTGTCGCAGGTGAGGATAAGTGAGGAGGGTTCAAATTCCACAGAGATCATCAGTTCTCAAGATCTGAAATGTATCTCGTTGAAGAGTGAAACTTACCATAAAACCTAGGTTTAAGGTCTCCTATCGACTTCTTCTAACCATCAAACTTAGAAACAATGCATTCGATGTTGAGTTACTTAGACTAGTGATCATATTTATAGAAGTCAATCGGCACCATAAAGAACCAGACAAACACAATGTTAGTCACTAATCAAAGGTCAATCAATTGTATCTAAAGTTTTGACTGGGCATGATGAAAGCTAATCACATATATAGAAAAAATGTTTTGTACCACAATAATGAAGATTTGTATTCTGTTCATCACCTTAATTTTTATTTCCAATTGTAGTGTAGATCTTGTTCGATCACAAATTCGTCTAGCTGAAGGTCGTTCATTAAGTGATCTTAATTTATGTCAAGATAAAATTGAACCACATGGTTTTGCAATACAATGTCGTATTACTACTGAAGATCCAGCAAAACAGTTTCAACCTGATTCTGGACGTATTGAAGTAAGTTGTGACGAATAAGATATGGAAAAAGCTTGGAATTACTGAAACACGTTTATTTCGTAAAGATTATGTAGTAATGATTTCAATAATGTTGCTTCCCTAAAATTCTTATATCTTACGTAGGTCTCTCTTAGAAAGAATAAAACTTGTTCTATTACTTGCATCACAGATTATTCTTAATTAAACAATCATGAGAAAGCGGTAATCAGTGGACAGTTGTTTTGTTCTAAAATGGAAATTATTCAATAGTGACCATCTACGATTTCACATGTGAATTGAACTCACAATCTTCAATCTCATGCTCGAACGCCTAATCTCTAGACTATTGATCCGGAATCCACTAATGTATATGTCTAACTTCAGTCAATTCACAATATTGCTCGATCATTTTCCATTATCTTTGATGGGTAACTACCGCACACTCAACGCGGTTGAACTCCCATTTTATATCAAAATACTTTTTCTGAACATGCGATTTTAATTTATTGATCGAAACTCAATCGTCGCTTTGAGGCATACAATTTTTTCGTACCCTTCATATATAACTTTCTCAACATTATCATCGGGATTCTTTTGATTTATTAGTAATTTCCAGTATATAATAATTAATCCATGTGAAATCCAACATTTTCACTTTATAACTGAAGAGTCTGATGGTGGAAAAGATGTCGAACACAATTGTTTACGTTCTAATACTCTTTGTTCGTGAACGCATTTTTTTGTTCGAATTAATTGCCAAGATAGAAACGCAAGTGTGTAAACTAGATTAAATACAAAGCACACATAAATCTAAGACTAATTTTAAATCACCTTAGTTATTGTAAACAGTTTTTTTTGTGTTCATCTTTCACAAATTGATTTGGTAATTTATTATTTGAACTAAACAACACATGATCTAACTTATTAGTGGATATTTCAGTCGGCTATTGTAAATTTCATAAATAAATGACAATATATAATTCAGGATTTGATGTTATCATTTGATTGTAAAAACTAGAATAATTTGATTTATCTAAAAGTAACGACAGAATATGTAGCTTTCAATACCGAGGTTGAACTTGATAGTTTCAAATAATTTGAGCATTGAGTAAAAAGTTATATATATATATATATATATATATATATATATATATATATATATCGGTTATTTAGTTTGAAGAAGTGGCTTACATTAAGTCAAGAAACGTCAGAAACACAATTTTTCTACTCATTAGGATATTACAAAAATATATTTATAATTAACAACGAAACAAAATAGATAGGTTATGGATAGGTGTAGAATACAAAACACTCGTTTCATCCTATTTAGGACTTGTCAGCTGCGTGTACCTATGACTCAATGTTGTTGTTCACATTAGAACCAGAATCTTTCATTTCATATCCCAGCGCATTTGTAACTAAGTGAATAACGCGTTGCAATAGCTCAAGTCGTTATTAATAATGATGTGATGTCGTCATACTTTTAATGATATATATACAGGGACTATCCTGCTTCGGTTTGGGCACCCGGGCAGTATCACAGCCCTCACACAAATCAATTGAGATTCGTGTGGCGCATATGTACTTGGTGCCTCCCTGTACCTATACTTATGTGTTAAAATAAATAAATAAATATACAGGGACTATAGATATTTTTAATTTTAGTTAATTTTCACTTGAAATATTTATTTCTTCGATAAGTGTTGAAATTTTCAAAGAAGTATTGTGGACTTATCCACTATATATCTTTATGTAACATTATCTAATACAGTTATTGGGTGAATACATGTTGAGAATCGATCCGATGATAAGGTTGTTAATAGACTGAAATCACTAGCAATGATTAGAGAGAGATGGTGATTATTGATAGAAGTATGCTTTAGAATTTGTTGGTGTACAGAACTACGAACATCTTAAATGTGGTTAAGATGATATCATGATAATTTAAAACAAGGTATGCATTTTGTTTTCAGAATTGCATTATTCGATTATTAAAATTACATGATCGACACATGCAAGGTTATCTGAATATTGATGAAAAACGTCAGAATATCATGTGTTTCATACTTGTCGAATGTAAACCAATACTGATGAACTGATTTTTAGTGATATTTAGGTGTAAGAATAAAAAGGAACCATCAGTTATCTCGAAATTACAGGTACGCCTTTCTGACTAGTGCCATATACCATCAAATCCAGGTTCAAGGTTTCTTGCCGAAAACCAACTGCTGCCTTACAAAGAGTGGAACCATTAAGCATGGACATAAATTTACCTATTTAAAAATTGCGTCACATTTAGTTAACTAGTTCTCACCTGCTTCGCTCTGGGTATCCGGACAGTATCACAGCCCACACACAAATGAAGTGACTTGTGTGGCGCGTATGTATTTGGTGCCCCTTTATATTTTTGTGTTCTAATAAATAAATAAAACTAGTTCTCAGCACATTTGCGATCTCTTATCACACCTATGTATATTGCTTATCACTGAAGCCTCATGATAACCGATGACATAATCAGTCAAGTATCGATATGCTTATCTGACTAAAAAGTAGTATAAATCTTAAAAATTGGTGAACTTGATCTTGACAAAAAGCACCATAAGGGTACTAACTTTTCATAAACTCTAAACTGATCTATTCAAATTGCAGAATAAACTCTTAGTACGAATTAATTCTGTGTATTTGAAAAAAGTATTTTCCATACTTTTCCGTTCTAAAAAATTCAATTTTTCCCGTTTAGGTATTTCAAAGCGGTGAAGGAATGGGTATTCGTGTAGATTCAGCTTCAGCTTTTGCTGGTGCAATTATTTCTCCATATTATGATTCATTATTGGTTAAAATAATTGCACGGGCAAGTAATTTTCGTTTAGCTGCCAAGAAAATGCTACGTTCATTGGCGGAATTTCGTATACATGGTGTTAAAGTAAGTGAATAATAATTATTCAGAGTATATATTTTTAAATATAAGTATTAATTGATTTGCTTAACATGGTTATGCTTGATTATTAGTTATCAGATTGATAGTGGGGACTTTTTGTAGATTTGCATCACAGACTAACTTTAACTATATAACTACTGAAAAGTAAGTAGTACTGAACAATTATTTTACCTTGGTATAGGATTCCTCAGTAGTGTGGATACATGCACTCACTAGCGATTGGACTTAGGAATTTTGCCAGAAGTAGCACCTGAGACTTTCAGGCCTCGTGATTAGTTGCTTAACCATTAGAACTACTCAATAAGCCTCCACAGAAACCCTTTCAACTGCAATCAACTTATGATATAACTCAATGATCGTTTGATGAAATCGGTGACAACTGTTTCTCTTTAGACATGTCACGATTTCTCACAAGATCTTCTAGGTCCTCAGTATTTTTGTGTTCGTTTATTTCAGGTTCATTATTTGAATATCATTTTATACTAGAAATTTTTCTGATTTAACTTCGTAAACATTTGTTGATGGTTAATGTAGACACTAAAAACTGAAGTTATTTGGAAAACACTTAAAATTGAATCATTACTGGATAACTATTTGATCCTAGCTTGAGATTCACCATCAACAACATACAATGCAACATTATGTACAACAGAAACCCTTCAGGTTTCGTAATGATCAAAATATTTCTAGATTTCTTGAATTCTAACCTCTCCCAATCTGATGTCATAACTCTCTGATGGAAATCAACTTTAACTTAGATCAGTATCCACAAGATCCCTCCTCAAACTATTTCTTTTCCCTTGTTTATTTTCCCCTACTAGACAAACATTCCATTTCTTATGAATGTAATTAAACATGAACAATTTTTATCTGGCATTGTCGATACTAATTTTATTGATGAACATCCTGATCTGTTTGATTTACCTCCGGCTAAACAACGTGCCCAAAAATTATTACGTTATATCGGTAAGTAATTTCAATAAAGCATTATTGTTAATCATTATTTTATTGTTATATCAATTCCAACGAATCCACTTCACTTCAATCAAGCCAATGATCTTCGCGTCAACCAATAACATAAATGACCTGTAACAACAACCGGACGTCTTAACGCTTATTAGTCCATTCAGCCTTTTCTATCCCTAATGGTTAATCAGAACACGAACATAGCCAATCGACCTACTTTATATTATTACGACTCATAATTTTATGTATCATTTACATGACCATAACTTACTACAAATAGGAGATCATAATTTGTACATAACCAGGACATAAGTGATACAAAGCTGTGTAATAGGTGCTTAATTAACGGTAATTTATGGACCGCAAGACATATATTAACAATCGATGGATTTTCTAAAAGCTTACAGTCAAAGCAATATGAAAATATCACAAACCAGATATTTAATAAATATGCAGTTAAAAATCGATACAATAACTTGTCCTAGAAGTAAATAGTTTTATAAGGTATAGCGAATGATCAGAAGCATTGGGGAGAAAACATCGTCAACCTATTCTCAAACCTTAAACGAGTAAGAAGCTTAATTCGAGTTTTGCATTAAATATGGGTACCAACATGTACAATTCAAGCTTACAAATTGGTATTCCTAGTTTCCTGAAGTCGCACTCTAAACTACATGTCAGAGCTTTCAATAGTAGAACATTATATCAAATCATACAGCAGGCTTTATTATCTAAAAAACTCGTGTCATTGATTGACTAATTGTCACATCCTATTGTGTTTGTAGACGCACTATCAATGAGAAGTAATTCTGTTGAGAATGAATAAGTATTTAAATTTTAGCCTAGTTTTCAATGTACACAACTCTATGTATTTCTTAACTTAGTAAAATTAAGTGATAGTTTAAAAGATTTTGTACTGTTTTAAATTATATCAGTCTACCTAAACTAAAGTTGATCGAAAGGAAAGTGGTTTAAACTATGTACGACACGATGACTGAAAATGAGGTGCTTTAAACCATCGAACTGAAGAGTCACACATAGAAGGAAACGCACTTCTTGAGTTCAGCTGCTAGTCACTATCCAACTTTTATAAGAATTTATATAATTAGCCTACAGTGATCGAGTCAATCACTATTTTAAATGAACAGATGATTTGTTCACAGAATTATAGTGTTATGGTAATCCACATACTTTGTATTTACATATTTTTTTAAATAGGTAATACAATGGTTAATGGGCCATCTACTCTTTTGGCTACAAAAATTCCACCATCTGACATTGAACCAAAGGTACCAACAATTTCTTATGGTAAGTGATGAATGATTTTTTGAAAAAAAAGTTTCTCTTGTTAAATTATTACATGTGATAGAATCAGTTTTTTCGTTCTAATTTCTTAATTGGAAAGGACTGAAAAATATCTAAAAATTATAACACATATATAATTCTTTGAAAACTTTTGATAAACTAGGCTAATCAAAAAACAGTCAAATGATAAAAATGAGACGACGATAGATGAACTCTAAAGGCTATTAGTAAAAAATGTGACTTCATTTTCTGGGTAGAAAAAGATATATATTTATGAATTGGGTGTAAATATATTGTCTATTTAGAATAGACGGTTAAAACTTCCTGTTCGCTCTTGGTTTTCTCACTAATGTTACTTGTTTGGAGACGCGGATAGGAAGTTTGTACTGTCAGAAACTGACTCAAATGATCACACAAAATAACATTATGCTGCTAGCAATATATCAAATTAATCCGGTCTTATGTAGGTTTTGGTGATGTTTCTTTAAATAATGTTGATCCATAAAGAGAACTGCACTTGATCTCCAGCGATTTTTGAGTGATATTTATGTTTACAATAATAATAATAGTGCTATGTTTGAAGAGATTACGAGGTTATCTAATCTGCGTAAGGAAAGAGGACCCTTGACTCAATGATTAAATAAGCTAATTATTTCAATGCGTCCCAACCCCGCTAACTAGAGAGAGAAGTCCAGGTTCAGAAGAGGGAAGTGTATTCCGCAAGTAGCCAGAAGCACAAACAACAACCCCAAGCACAATTCATGCGTATATATACAGCATAAAAATGTCCTTGGGAAACGTTACAAAATAGCATATTAAAAGAGACAACCAACCAATGACATCTAAGGTCCCCCCAAGTAGGAAATGGGCACGTTTGGCGCGAAAATAAGGGATTCAATTTTCCAGAATAAAATTGCAAAAATAAGATATTTACCAAGTGAGTTCTGGGGATCTAACATCTCCAACAAGTAATTACAATAATAACAAACTCACTCCTACATGGAACTATATGAAATACTTATTTGAACATTATTTTTATTGTATTTGGTTTGTTATGGAACATTTGTGTATCATTTGTTCTTTTTAAGCTGACCTTATCTATAAGCATTAAATTATTGATTTGTTATCAACTGGTTAAAGGTGATAACCTTGACCTCAACTGTGAATCATATCGTTTCTTAACGAATTGTCTTTTTATGAATTATGTGAAATCGTTGATGTTAATGTCGAGATGTGTATCCTGAATTCTACTGTTAAACACCATTCAACTATCATTAGTTGAGATCATGAATCAATTGAAGCTAGACCACCGTGGAAAACCTGGAAGCACTGAACGGTCGTTTCGTTCTATTGCAGGACTCCTTAGCAGTGCGCATCCACGACCCCGCCTCGCGGGATTTGAACCCAGGACCTATCGGTCTCGCGCCAGGCGCTTAACCAACTAGACCACTGAACCGGCATCCAATGGTGTTAATATCTAACTTCAACTGATCCACGAAATTGAGCGACACATCCACCATTGTCATCAGTGAGTTACTATCTCACAACTGACCCGTTTGAACTCCACATTAACACCGTTGGATGCCGGCTCAGTGGTCTAGTTGGTTAAGCGCCTGCCGCGAGACCGATAGGCCCTGGGTTCAAATCCCGCGAGGCGGGGTCGTGGATGCGCACTGCTAAGGAGTCCTGCAATAGAACGAAACGACCGTTCAGTGCTTCCAGGTTTTCCACGGTGGTCTAGCTTCAATTGATTCATGATCTTAACTATTGAAATTACTACAATCTTCACAAAACCCCTTCTGATACCACTCAACTGTACTTAACATTTGTTTTTCTTTAGTTCAAGAGTAGTTAAAATTATCCTTTTAATTCGTTTATTGAAATTGTTTAATATTTCGATCATGCGATTGGAAGACAAAGGTTTTCAAATGTAATTTAATGTATATTAACGCAATATGAGTCACATATTTACTCGTTAAAATATTTATGTATTAACATTAAATAAGAAACTTAACAAATTGGTAAATAAGGTAAACAATAGGAGAAAAACAATATGAATCACACTACATTTGATAATTAGTAAATATAAGCAGAATATTATCAGAAAGGGTTTCGTGAAGATTTTAGTAATTTTATAGTTGAATTCATGAGTCAATTGAAGCTAGACCACCATAGAAAATCAGAATGGATCTAGTTTAAGTACAAACTATAATTGACTGATCGTTGGGTAATAACTAAAATTATGTTTGTCTAGTCCTTTTTAATGTTGATTGAATTCTATCAATCAAGTCGAAATACATCCACTAGTCTAAATAACTCGACATCACGTACACTATGTTGAGATGTACGATAATGATTGGAGGTAGTTGACGGGGAATACTTTAAGCCATGACTCGACCACAGCTCACTGTAGTATCTTAATCTGGTTGTGTAGACTGAACTAAATTTATATTGTACAGTGGGCTGTGATTTCACGAGTTTCTTATCGACTTGCGTCAAATACATAAGGTAAGTAAAAATTGTTGCTAAATACGCTCATAGATATTTTTTACCCAAAAGGAGATATTGTTACCTTTCATATAGCAGTACGTAAACGTTTTTTGCATATTCACTGACAATAGAACAAACTTGCACAACATATACTTTTGTATGTTATTGTCTTTATTTTGTTGTAGCCAATAGTATTCCACGTGGTTGGCGTAATATACTACTAGAAAAAGGACCAGTTGAATTTTGCAAAGCTATCAGATCACATCCACATCTTCTAATTACTGATACTACCATGCGTGATGCACATCAATCACTTTTAGCAACACGAGTACGTACTTTTGATCTGCTACGTATTGGACCATATTTGGCGTATCAGATGCCACAGTTATTCAGTCTAGAAAATTGGGGAGGTATGGTATTTTGCTATATTGGCTTTTTTTATATATATGAACTGCCCAATAGATATGCGAACTGAACTACTAAGGTTGCTAGTTATGGAAAACCATAGACTTCCTGTACTATGTTCATGTACCAACAATCTTTTGTGGTTTCTGATCGCCAAATACATTACCACGATGATTGTCAATAAATTGTATTTAGGAAATTTGCCTATGCATCCATTCTTTGCTAATCATTTGAAGTTGAAAAATTTATATATAGAAATTGTCCTAAAGCTGCTAACACCTGAGTAAAAACTGAGAGGAACAGAAAATACTGGTTTAACTGCAAAAATCACCGCTTAATATTTCAATTTGTTTGGAATTCTCAATATTAGTGATAAATGATGATCCTGTAAGTACACTATCGAGGGGATTTCCATGAACTTCTATGGTTGTCTCGAATAACCGAAACAGAGATTGCACAAGTGTATTACCATACATATGAAGTATTTTGAAAAGGGGACTGATTGATACATTGCAAACTTTTTAAAATAAATTTGTGCTTATTTGAGCCAGACAGTACTTTTCTTTGAATGGAATAAATACAACATTCTAATATTTGGTAATGAATATATTTTTGTATATTGTATAAATTCTCTCAGCTTCGGTGTACTATTATTTTCCGTTATAAACTTTATTCTAGAAAGTGGGAAATGTTATTGTAAAAATTCCCTGTGATAAGTAATGAATTAAAATTGTCAACATTATAAGTATTTAGGAATAAGAAATTTATATAATGTTGAACTATGTAGAGATGTATAAATGAACTTAAAATTTACTTGCATGATGTGCAAGACTGATAGATTATGCTACCAATCTGTTATGTAAATACACATATCATATTAAAACAGGGTAAATCTAGTTAGTTTGTTATAGACTGACTTGTAACTCATTTACTACTGAGTAATTGTTGTTGGTCCACCAACAATTGAAGAAACCAGCATGGACATCAGATAACTCAAGAGCGGCAAAGCAGCAGGACCAGACAACATTCCAACAGAGGCACTGAAAGCAGACGTAACGGTAACTGTAAGGATACTCCACATTCTCTTCAATAAGATTTGGGATGAGGAACAAGTACCAACAGACTAGAAGAAAGGACTTCTGGTCAAAATGCCAAAGAAAGACGACCTCAGTAACTGTGAAAACTACAGGGGGCATCACTCTTCTCTCAATGCCAGGAAAAGTCTTCAACAGGGTACTGTTAAACAGGATGAAGGACTTGGTAGATGATCAACTACGAGACTAACAGGCTGGATTCCATAAGGATCGATCGTGTACAGACCAAATCGCAACCCTACGGATCATTGTGGAACAATCAATTGAATGGAATTCATCACTCTACATCAACTCCATTGACTACGAAAAAGCATTTGACAGCGTGGACAGAACAACACTATGGAAGCTTCTTCGACACTACGGCGTGCCTCAGAAGATAATCACTATCATACGGAATTCCTATGATGGATTAAACTGCAAAATCGTTCATGGAGGACAGCTGACAAAGTCGTTCGAAGTAAAGACCGGTGTTAGGCAAGGTTGCTTACTCTCACCCTATCTCTTTCTCTTGGTGATCGACTGGATCATGAAGACGTCAACATCTGAAGGGAAGCGCGGGATACAGTGGACATCTAGTATGCAGTTGTATGATCTAGACTTCGCAGATGATCTGGCTCCTCTATCGCAAACGCAAGAACAAATGCAGGAGAAGACGGCCAGCGTATCAGCAGCGTCAGCAGCAGTAGGTCTCAATATACACTAAGGGAAAAGCAAGACTCTCCGGTACAACACAGCATGCACCAATCCAATCACAATTGACGGAGAAGATTTGGAAGATGTAGAAACCTTTACATATTTGGGCAGCATCATTGATGAACACGATGGATCTGATGCACATGTGAATGCGCGGATCGGCGAAGCAAGAACAGCATATTTACGACTGAAGATCATCTGGAACTTAAAACAACTGTCAACCAATACCAAGGTCAGAATTTTCAACACAAATGACAAGACAGTTCTGCTGTATGGGACGGAAACCCGGAGAATTTCGAAAGCCATCATCCAGAAGATAAAAGTGTTTATTAACAGTTGTCTGCACAAAATACTTCAGATCAGTTGGCCAGACACTATTAGCAGCAACCTACTATGGGATAGAACAAACCAGATCCCAGTGGAGGAAAAAATCAGGAAGAAGCACTGGGAGTGGATAGGACACACATTGAGGGAAGCATCCAACTGCGTCACAAGGCAAGCCCTCAAATGGGATCCTCAAGGAAGACCAAAAAACACATTGCGCCGAGAAATGGAGATAGACATGAGAAAAATGAACAAAAATTGGCTAGAACTAGAAAAGAAGGCCCAGGATAGAATGGGTTGGAGAATGCTGGTCGGCGGCCTACGCTCCATTGAGATTAACAGGCGTAAGTATGTAAGTAAGTAATTATAGACAAGTATAGATAGCTGATATGATTCTGTCTTTTGCCACTTCGTTTCATTGAAGTATTCGTAGACTTCTTCGAAATATCGTGGTCAATACTGATAGGAAAATTTTGTAGTTTACAGCAAGAAATGACCTTGAACAAGAATCAAACGCCACAGTGCATTGGAGGGCTGTTTCGTCCAATTATGGGATACCTCAACAGTGCTCGTCAACGATGACTTTCATGTATTTCCTAGTTTTCAGTAGTTATATAATGAAGAACAGTTATTGATGTAAATTGCGAAATACATTCTCCTGTACTAATAATAATTACGTGCTCATACAAGTGGCTAAGTTCAAGAGGTGATTTCCGAGGTTCAACCATAATGGATGTAAGAGAGTCGTCATCCATCAATAGCATTGGAAGTGAGTCGCACAATATCGCAGTTTGAATGACGTTAGAAATGTAAACCATTGGATGCTAACTCAATGGTATGAAGGTCAAGCGTTTGTGGCAAGACCTGAAGGTCCTGGATCCGATCCCCGGCGGTGTCGTGAGTGGGCCTTTTGAGGAGTTATACAGCAGGATGAAATGACTGTTCAGCTTTTCTTGCTTTCAGTGGTTGTCTAATCAAGGTCAGCCCATGATATAAACTACAGAACTCGCAGAAGGAACTGAAGTATTGATAGCCGTTTTACAACAGATTTTTGACCATGTTTTTGGTTGATTTTAATCAGTTCTAGTTCAGACCCCTCTATGATAGCCTTGCTGAAGTATACCGTTCTGTGATAATTTGTATTTTTAGGAATATATCGTGTCAGTAACTATTAATAATCAGACTACCTAGTTCCAGAAATTTTTAATGACACAGTATTTAAATATCTAATTATAAAAAGTTTGTGTACACTTTGACAAAACGGTAAGTTTTTCTTGTGAACACAGTTAGTATCTCGAATCTTTATTCATCAATTTAAAACTATTCAATCTAGGTGCTACATTCGATGTCAGCATGCGTTTCCTTCATGAATGTCCTTGGGAACGTTTAGAACAACTTCGCAACGTTATTCCAAATATCCCATTTCAAATGCTTCTACGTGGTGCAAATGCAGTTGGTTATAAAAACTATCCTGATAATATAATATACAAGTAAGTAAATTCTTTAAAAAATTTGGTTTACCCTAGGTTTATTATTTAGTGAATGTACTTTACCGTTACTACAAATTTGACCTGATCTTTATCAGTTTTGCAAATCGAAAGCTTTATATGCAAGCTATTTGTTTTCAGTATAATGTAGTGTACTTTACACTGACCGATTATTATAATTAATTCTAATCCGAAAGTAAATTCCTCATTGCTGGAAAAAGCCAATTCCAAGTTTTTAAAGTTCCGATTTCTATGAAAGTATTTGTTTCTTCAAGAATTAAGAAATTCCTTACTGATTAAAAAGTATTCAAAGAGCTTGACAATCTCATCTACACATCTTTTTGCCTGTAAAATGTTAAATAAATAATTATACATAGAATCAAAATTCTGTTCCATTAAATAATTAGCTCTTCTAGGGTTACTGTCAGTCCCAAGCCCGGATGAAGGAGGAGGGTTGGGCATGGTGTCAGCAACCCTATCCCGTAGAAAACAGTCTTAGTGGAAATAACGCTAACCAGAATAAAAAGTGATTAATATCATGTTTATTTAATTATTTAGTACTGATTGAGTTCTATCAATGAAGTTACAATGTAGCCGTTAGTCTAAATGACTCGATATCGTGTTCAATATACTTTGAAATTTATCACAATAAACATTTAAATCGCGAAAATACTTTCTACTTCAATCAATTAATTGAATCATTGAAACATAAAGATTATCGCTTCGCTTCAGTTTCTTTCTTTCTCTCTCTCTCTTTCACTCTGTGAACATTCATTAAAACTCAAGTCTATAAGATTGTAAGTTTATTACTACTTCTTTCTTCATTAAGTTCCATTTTAAAAATACCTGGATTTCTTAAAATCTACTTATATCACATTATCTCTCATGATTATCCTTATTTTTACATTATACTTTAATGTTTCATGGTATAATTGATAATGATCAAGGTATTTACTTTTCAATGATTTCTAATGTTGTTTATATGTATGTTTTAGTGTTTTGTTCCATAATGAAGACAACAAAAATATATCAACACATGATATTACAGTACAAATGATTTATTTATATATTAAAATAGGGTCAGAGTTGGTAAAAAGTACATTATTCAATTTTTGTCAATAAATAATAATAATGGCCAGTGTTTCTTTGTGTGTATGTATGTGTGCGTGTATAAAGATTATAAATTATTGAAAGAGAAAAAACTGTGTAGCTCTCAAGCGAATGTATTTATAGTAGTGTTTAGCGTGATCCTTCATCCTTGTCCCGGTTGAGTTGTAAGATCTTCAATGTTATTCTAGAAAGTATCTCTAACATTTATAACTTACAAAGAAACATTTGTAACTTTTTATGTATTTATATCATTCTAATGAATTTGGTAAACAATTCAAGTTAAAATGTCAATTTAGCTTATTTTTTAAGCTTTATCTCTCAGAATTATACAGAATAGATAGAATATAGCTAGCAGTGGAATTTAGGACACGTATTCTGTCCTGGATGTTGGATATACCCTCATCCCAGAGTTGATGTTTACTCATGAACTCAGACCCACTGTCTTTTACTTCAAATGCCATCGCATTATCCACTTAGCTACTGAGTTCAGGTACTCACCCACTTGTACAACGGGTATAAGATTTAATTCAATTTGAAATGACTTGGATTAACCCAATTTTTGGTATTTTTTTTACTGAAATATGATCAGCCTTGGTTGGCATATGGACACGTTATGCGGACTCTGTGGACATGATGTCACTAGTTGATATAGGACAGATCGAATTTTGCGAGCAGTATAATCCAGACCAAAATATCAACGACAAGATAATATAAACCATTTCGAATCGAATTATATCAGGATATTATTCATTCATAAATCATACGCATTGGTCTGTGTAATATCTTTTATTAATCACTAGAAATGACCTTTCACTTTGTCTCTTATTTTAACAGTTTCATTCCTGTTTTTAATGAAGTAGCTATTGACTTTAAATTTTTACTTATAGAGTTTTCCTATTTTTTTTTCCTGTATCACACTACTATTTATATAAATCTCAAATACCATTCAACACTAATTTTCTCTTTATTTTAAATTTATTCACTTATTGATTAAGGATTGAGATCAGCTTGAAAAAATGATAGTCTACATAGATCATATAGCATCTTAATGTTATGCGGAGGTGAGAAATCTAGGCGTAAGCAGTCTGTTTTGTATGCAAACGAATCATTCACTTAACTAATGTTGCCGCTTACATAGCGTTGCATGAATCGTATACGCATGATTTATGTACATATTCTTTAGTCCTGTAACATGAAGCTTTCTACATATTCTTAATCTACTCACTTTGAGTAGGGATTTTGATTTCGGTCGATATCTCGACATGCGTTTGGAAAGCTCATTTGACTTTTATTAAAATACATCACCCATGGAAGTGGGCGAGATGTCAGAATACCAACCAAACGGCGAGTATGCTGTTCAGCATTTCGTTCTGTTCCACTTAAACTATATGAAATCTGACCTTTAAAAATAAAAGATATGAGTAGGTTACAAGTATTTGATCATAGGTGCATTCGAAGCTTTACTGGACCTTCGAATAAGAAGGTATTTGCAATGTATTCAGTGAAGATGGCTAGTTGGTTAGTAAGCAATAAGTCTTCATTGACTGAGGTGGTTAGGATATAAAATTTGTTTACTTAACCATTGGCTACCATGAAGCGCAATGTTTGTTAGTTTAGAGGTAGGTTGCTAGAAAGCTGCAGATTAAAAGTCCTAGATGTGGCATCTGTTCATAAAATCATTAACCAATGGTTTGAGTCGTTGTGAGATATCACTCCCTGAAATCTTGAGTTTTGAACTCACACTCTCCATTCCACAAATTAATTCTCCAGTCATATTGTGCATACTTTATTTTTTCTACTATGACCACTAACACTTTCTACTTCTATTGCTCTGGCATATATGTTGATAAATTCATGTACATGTATTGTCATAACTTGAACTGATGCGCATGTATGTGTGCTTCTACTTTATTTATGATCAACTGACTGTATAGCTGATTCAGTCAAACGTTATAAAACCCATATATCATGACCAAACCGTATCTACAGTTCGTAATGAGGACGACTAAAAATCGGAAAGTAATAGACCTATGTTTTACTTTGGTTTATGATTTCTTAGTCAAGAGTAGACACTAAAAAACTCATTCAATATCAAATTCAAGTCATTCAACAATCTGATACCTCACTCAATTACTGAACAGGTAAATTACTAACGATCTTCATTTTACTTCAACATCTGATAATATTTCAGTCAATCTCTTTTGATATTCAAAATAGTTTACTTTATAACAGCAGTCATGTTTTTTTACTAACATTTGTTTTTACTTGCTCACCTTTATTTTCACCGATCTTAACATTATCATTATTTTATTTGGTAGATTTTGTGAAGTTGCTGTAAAAAATGGCATCGATATATTCCGTATATTTGATAGTTTAAATTATTTGCCAAATTTACTCATGGGGATGGATGCTGTCGGCACAGCTGGTGGAGTTGTTGAAGGTTCCATATGTTATTCCGGTGATCTTTCAAATCCTAAACTTGATAAATATAATTTAAAATATTATATGGATTTAACTGATCAGTTAGTCAAAGCTGGAACTCATATATTAGGAATTAAAGATATGGCAGGTGAGTAGAAGAATTTTATATATATATATATATATATATATATATATAATCATTAATTCAAGCATAGATTCTTACAAATGACTTTGTATGTCTGGGTGTGAGAGGCTAGTTATATACTTACTTATTTAGTCAAATCAAATTAAGTGGAAAAGAAGTGAAGTGAAGTGAAGAGGTGACTTACACTAAGTCACGAAACGTCAGAAAATCTAATTTTTCTACTCATTGGGATATTACAAATATATTATTTATTTATAAGTGGAAAAGGGTTCAAACCTCCTGGGATCTAACAGTTGAATTAGGTCGATTATGGTTGGCAGTGAAATCCAGAACACTCATTTTGTCCTGTTTGGGACTTGTCGGCTGGATGTACCTGGATCTTAGTGCTAATATTCACACTGAGGCCCCAATTTCAATAACTTTTGCTTCAAACGCTAACGCGTTATCCGCTTAGCTTCTAATTTCAGGTAGTTATTTACTTGTTTAACGTTTAGGTCATTATCAATTAAGGGTTAACTTTTTATGCTGATATTCAGGACTGAATTTCTATGTTTTTGTTGATTTATGTTTGTCCTTTACGGATTCCTTCGATATATCAAGCATATTCATCTGATGATTCTTAAGTGGAAAGAAACGCTTGTCCTGGATCCCACTCCTAATTACAACCCTTTTGTTCTACAAAACTTGTGACAAAATGACTATCGAAAGGATCCTTTGAGAATGTACATATGTAGACAATGATTGATCGAACTTCAATACTGAATATTAACAATCGGATAATTCACATCTTTGCTAATAGTCAAAAGTTGAATGGTTTGAGAAATACATCACAATTGCTTTATCACTCGAATGTATCATAGTTTTATATCACATTTTGATCCGTTCTAAGTGAAGTCTCTTCTACTGTATTTATAAATTAGTGTAGATGATAATATAATCTATGAAATACTGTCAGTCACGGTCACTATGTTAATTAACACGAATAATTGTTTGTTCAAGTTGCCTCACGACGTCTCAAACCATTGGTTATGATAAATGCGCGAGCCCAACCACGTAGTTTGCATCTACATACACAGTTCAGTCCAACGGTGACTATGGACTGATGTTATTTCTTAGGTTGGCCGCTCCCATCTTACTTCTAACTTTCTCCGCCTCCACTAAAGAAATGAAATTAGTATACTATGAATGATTTCTTTTAACTAATTTCATCTATGCTTACCCTTTATATATTTATCTCTGATAGTACAGATGAGAGACTATGAAACACACATCAACACATTGTCAACTTCCATTTAAGATTCATATTCAAGTTTAAATTAATTCTTTCTCTACAATATTTTAAATATAATTTATTTTAGGCTTACTAAAGCCAAATGCTGCCCGTATACTTCTGTCAGCCATACGAGATCGTTATCCTGATATACCGATTCATTTACATACACATGATACAGCTGGTGCTGGTGTAGCATGTTTGTTGGCCGCTGCCGAATCTGGTGTTGATATTGTCGATGTTGCTGTGGATAGTATGTCTGGTTTAACTAGTCAACCAAGTATGGGTGCTCTTGTCGCTTGTTTAAAACATACTGACACGTTAGTCTCAATGTTTTCTTATGTTTTTTTTTTCAAATCAATTTTTAATATTTGCCTTTGTACTTAGATTTCATTAAGTTAAAATTAAATTGTTTTCAGAGTACACGATTTTTTGATAAATTTATATTTGTGAACGTTTTTATTTAATCCATTATGAAGATGTTCGTTTTACTTGTTCAAATATCTATTTTTCATTACAAGAGTAAATAATATACAATGCCATATATTATGAAGTAAATCTAGGTAATCGACAACTACAAACCCTGAGAGCTAGTAGATAATTTTTTCGTTCTAGTACATGAAACTTCAAAACAGTACATATTTATAACCCAGCCAGATATTGAACTTAAAATTGTTAGGCCTATTAGCAAGTCCATCTCCTTTAAAGTATTGAGTTATCTTCTTTTTGTTAGAATTATATTCTCTGGGTTGGCTGATTTAATCATGAAACTTCTATTTTCTATCCAGATAACAGCACAAATTTGAAATAGAAGTGAGCCATGAAAATTTACCCCATTGATGATTAGCAGCTTTTTCTGATTGATTTTACAGTTGATTGGTTGTTGTTATTACTTGTCCTGTCACAATGTTTGCGCGTTTATTTTGATTATCTTGAGGCTACATGATAAGAGCCTTTGATTTAGTCATCCGGTTTATTTCCATTGAACGCCATTAATAGAAAATGATGGTTGTTTTAAAGATTGTAAAAAATGAGAAGCTTTAATGGTTCTAGCTAACCAGAAATGATGTACTTCCCAGATAGATGTTGAAATTATTTCTTCAAATAACTCAAGCTAAAAACGTATATATATATATATATATATATATATATATATATATATATATATATATATATATATATATACAGTAAATTAATCACTGAGTAGTGGTCGTGTAAACCTTTATTGCTAACAGAAATCTGTCAAACATTAGTTTCCATAAGATTTCTGGCATACGTTCCTAGCACGAAGCTTAGTTTCAGGGTTTGATGAAGAACACTTCCGACAGTCTAACATCTAAACAGTGAACTGTGAGATCAAGTCACTTGTACTAGTGACTCACATTACAACTTATTCAGTAGATTTCGTCCAGCACTAACGAATTGGACAAACAAGACATTGGTTACTACTGAGTGATCAATCGATCATGAACATTACAATCCTACAAGAATTTACTCACGGGGCGAATATTTCAGTGTTAACGTCTCAGACAATAAAGTCGGGTAACATAGGTCTGAACTCCACAGGGGTTATCAATCCCCTCGAGATTAGTGATGTGTCGTGATGACAAGTGGCAACTAACATGACTCCTAGATCGAACAGGGTTCCCCCCCCAGACTATCTTTAACCGCTTAACGCTTATATGTATATAAAGTTTTGTTGCTTCGTTAATTATTTTCAGTGACACTGGTTTATCTAGCGAAGATGTATCAACTTATTCAGCTTATTGGGAACAAACGAGAAGTTTATATGCACCATTTGAATGTACCACGACTATGCGTTCAGGTAATGCTGATGTATATGAAAATCAAATACCTGGTGGTCAATATACCAATTTACAATTTCAATCTTATTCACTTGGTTTGGGTGATCAATTTGAAAATGTGAAACGTAAATATACTGAAGCTAATCAACTTTTAGGTGATATAATTAAGGTGACCATACATATTTTATATAATTTTTCTCTGATCCCTTTTTTGTAAATAACATTTTTAAAAAGAAGAATTCATAGTGATCAAGGAAAAAACAAAGCAGTACATCTTGAAAGTTACTTACAAGTTCATATGAGAGTATTGATATGAGTTATATAAGTTATTTGAGAGTTAATTATACTACTTGACTTCTTATACATCAGATATAAATAGAATGTGATGAACATTTCTATAAAATTTATTCTGAAAACTGATATAAAATAAATACTTCTTCGTTTGAGTAATAGTAGAAATCTGTTATCCGTGGAGAATCTTCTTCCTTTTGGGTGTGAATATTATATCATCTTACTGTAAGATGGTAACAAATTAGCTTCAGGAAACATTATTTCACGATTTGGGGTTTATAATTATGGTGTGTACTTAACCTTTTCGAAGTGTAAATGGCTTTCACAAAACTACCAAAAGTTTGTTCTTACATTCCTGTCAGTCAGCCATGGTATAAAGTTGATAATCCAACCACTATGAGTAGTTATGCTAGTACCAGTTTCAGTCTTTTTTAACAAAAGCCAGAGCTGTCTTGGCATCTTCGTTAGTTTAGTCTGATAATCAAACATTAAGTTAATAACCCTGATGTGTGAACAGGTTTGTTCCATTTTGTGAAATTTGATTTTTTCTGATATTCATTGTCTTTGTAGCGTTCTATACACCCTACAGAACAGCGTCATCTATACGATACTGATGTCAGATAATTCATGTTTTCATATAATATCAATCATGAATCGATAAACACTTCCATTTTTAAATACTGTATTTGATAATTTCAAGACATTTGCACAAGACTTATAAATAGTGCTTCATTTTCGAACACTGAAATTGATTAAGTGAAATAACGGTGTTAATTGTGGGCTTTTGTGGAGTAAATGATAGCTATGATAGGTTAGCGTCTGTTGACATAGCATGACTCTCTAGATCGGTGTAACTTAATATCATGTAGTATCATCTATAGCTTTTATTCTATTATAGTTTCATATTGTATCTCCTAACTGAACGAAATTAATCTCAATCAATTTGCTATATATAAATAGTGGGATCAATGGATATACTGAGCATTATGGTTTCTGGTGAAAATTGGCAAATTATGAGAAAAATTTGTGAAATATTGTAAGCTGTTTATGAATATACAACATTAAATAAGAAACACTTCCTTTCAAGTGAAGGAAATGTCTGAGTAAGGGCAATGGAAGTATTTTTATTTGAGACAAGGTCAGAACAACCGTCGACCTCTTATATTGATGAAAACATCAAACATTTTTTGTGCTTTCTTGTCGTTGACTTACTGCCCAGACATTTACTAACGAAAACGTTGTTTGTACAAACATTTCTAGCGAAAAAACTCGGCGTTAATAAAACTGTATAAAGTAAAAAACAATGCGATAACAACAACTGAAGAGTCTCGTCTTTAGGGACCTTTCCCAGCTGGTGTTGTTAATAAGGTGCCTCTGGATATTCCTCAATAAAGTTTTCAAAAGCTGGCAAAAGGTTTAAAAAATCTCGCTCATTCGGCATCGAATGGGAAATCACCAGAAACATTTAGAAAAACCAAGGATTATGTGTCATATTTTAACTGGATGATTGTTTATCTTGTTACGAAATCTAGCCTATTTCCAGTAGCTCCTAGAATGTGAAGGCCACCCGTAAAATCATGAATACGCTTGTTTTCTGTATCTAAACTAACCATGAAGCAAAGTTTTCATTCATACTTTTGCATCTTTTCTCTCCTATTTGGAGCTCACTTGTAGGGGGAGTATTTAAGAGAATCCAGGATGTGGCTAAGTAGCTAGTATTGGGATTTCGAGTAGCAGACATATTTTTTCTGAACAGTGCAAGTCGAAATGAGGCGAGTACATTATCATAAGTGCGAGGGGGGTATTTTTAATGGAACAGAATTGATTTACCAGAGAATATATTTTTTGTAATCTCAATTCGCGAATTCATCGGGCACGTTTTTTGTTCTGTTTTCCCCTTCGAAAATTTCCTAATCATGTCATATAATCATTTAATTTCGTTTATTCATTTACCATAGGTAACACCATCATCAAAAATAGTGGGAGATTTAGCTCAATTTATGGTCCAAAATGGTTTATCAGCTCAACAAGTATTAGATCGAGCTGAAGAATTATCTTTTCCATCGTCAGTGATTGAATTTTTCAGCGGTGAAATTGGTTTTCCTTATGGTGGATTTCCTGAGCCACTTAGAACAAAGGTAAGTAAGTAAACAAGATAGATGGTTGATTGACACTGTATAAAATGATATTCTTTACCTGTATAGTTGTAACTGCTAATGTGATCTAATATGTAGGTAATTGAAATCACTAACAACTGACTAACACGCGTAACCCCTAGGACTCAGTTGACAAATAGATAACTGAACATCGAAAACAAACATATTTAAAGAAATATTACAATACAAACTAATATGGTTACGTATAGTCTCTTTGATAAATATATCCAACTAAATTACCAAAGATAAAACCAAAGGCTTTTTAACTAACCAATCATTCCATCTCATATCTTTTACAGATTTAACACGTCATCACACTCAGGTGATGCAAAGCTATTGAAAAGAAACCCTGTAGCTAGCTTCCGTGCTGGCCGCTATTCATCATTATGAGATATCTCCAATTTCAAACAAACAAATGCTCTTTAAAAGGTTTGAACCCTTGTTACTCAGTATCACAAACTTCTTATCGAGTGCCTCAGATTATATATATACATTCCACACAATGTTAAGTCACTTAGGCTAGTGACCGCACTCCAACTTTATCAATAAATTTGGATCAGCATAAAAACTGGACAAATGTGACATTGTTTTGTACTCAGTTGATTATTCAGTGTAAAAATGCTCAGAATAAGTAACTGTAGTGTAAACCTCCTAATAATAATAACTCATGAAAATGTAATTATTTATCAGATAACTGGTACACAGAATATATATGTATGGTGATGATGACAGCTGATATCTGTTGCCTGAATATTGGAGTAAATAAGCTTCGACCTACTCCTGTATGTCATTTAAACTCTATAGATGAATTTTTGTCGAGGATTAACTTTATCTGTAAGTGGTTTTCGTCACTGGTCAACATTACTTACTATCTATTAGTCGGTAATTATGTGAACAATCGATCATCGCTAATCCTTCTCATTGCCATTACTACAGTCATTTATAGTCACCATAGAGCCTTTCAAAATTCCTCTTTAGCTCAATTTTTCACACAAAATTAGCACAACAAGCTGAGAATAATGAGCTAAATAGCAAAGGAACTGTGGTAGCTATGACAATATGAAAGACTAAACATCGAGAATATCGTTTGAAAAGGCAGTGGTAAGGTATAAATAATGGAATTATGAAATTCATCATTTAGAGGAGTGGACGCATCTGAGCCACTGGACGATTCTTAGCTATATCCCCAAATGTCTACAACCGCTGATCACAGTTATCATGCTGACCACAAACAGATAGCTTTGATCTACCAGCATTACTTAAATCAACAATGAATGACTTCCTCAACTGATAACAACTCTTAATTTGTCTACCCCTAACTTTCTTTCAACCTACTCCTACACCACTTAACATTACGCTTTAATAAAATATGCGAGAATATTTTTTCATTTGGTCGAAAATATAGATTTTTAATAACCAAGTAATATTAAAAACGATCACTAAGATTTTGAATAGTCCTTTTTTCATTCTTTCATAAGCCAATTTTATTCAATCATCTTTTTTCATCCTAAAATACAAAATAAAATAATCTCAGATTATGCGAGGTCAAAAAGCTAAAACAGAGCGTGTTGGTTCACATATCGAACCGTTTGATTTTGATAAATTAGCTAAACAATTAAAAGAAAAATTCAAAAGGGATTTTGATGAACGCGATCTACTGTCAGCAGCTCTATATCCTAAGGTAATAATGTATTTATTTATTTCTATTTATTGTATTGCAATATTCCCCCATTGTAAGCCTCCAGTGGATCAATTAACTGTCGCTGTGCGCTTTACCACTCCTTGACTATTACTACTTAATCATGTATTGTTTGCTCTGCTCTCTGCCACTTATGACATGATAGTGATTAAAGTACTATTTTTCATTTGGTATGCGGTTCAGTCTGATAATTCGTGTATGTAAGATAACGGACGTTTGGAATAGTTGTTGACTGATCTGCTAGCTGCAAACTTCTTTTCGGACTCAACTAAGGATAGAGGGAAACTTGTGGAGAGAGGAGCAATAGGAGTGTAGTATATGTGTTTGCTCAAGGTTAACTGTACAGATCAGAACGTATAATTAGTCAGTTCTTGGACGCTACATTTAGAATGAACAGTTGACGCAGGATACAGAATAATATAATCGAAATTCCGAATGGTGAGTTTGGCACGTGATATTGATTAGCATCTTAAGCCATAACAAAAGACATCAACTCATTGTTGGGAACTGAATAATAAGGAGGATTAACCTAACTGCACGCTATCAGTTATATTATTATTTTCGTTAGCTCATTTGTTGGATGTATTCATCACAGACTGATATCACTTGAAGTAACAATGAAGACCACACTAGTCTGCGACCCCTCAGCAATGTGCACCCATGCATTCGCCACTGATCGAACACAGGACTTTGGTGTATCATGGCGAATACTTACCTACTAAAACCACTTGGTCGGCGTTCAGTGGTCCAACTCCAATTTCAACCAGTTTTCGGCATAGCGCGGTGACCTAGTAAAAATTTTGGTGACAACATTCTCAATTCCACTGAAACCCAGGGATTACCTCTCGAAATTATTCATTACTAAGTATATAGTGCTTCTTATTACGGAGCCTTGTTTTTTATTTTTAACTTGTGGAAAGAAATATTCTCAATTGAATCAACTTGTACCCTGGGTCATTTTGGTGTAAATTGATTTTTCCTGTGCTTGCACACTAATTCTTGGTTATATTTTTAATATTTAGTAGAATTTCTTAAATTCGACTGTGAAACTCTCTGGCAGACCATAATTTTAATACATTCTGAGATAATTTGATATAATTATTTTCATTCTGTAACTTCAGCCAACTGATAATTTGAGGCAATCTCTCAAATATTATTTAGAGAATTTTTTAACCAGCCATCAACAGTTTGTTGGTGACAACTAATATTGAATCACTTTTTCAACACAAAAGTAAAAATATTTAGAATTTTGATTGGTTTAAATATAGTTTTATGTGCTACGAATTGAAAACCGTCAAAGAATCACTAAAGAAAACTAAAGATCATTGAACGCTCGCTTCATCCTAGCATGAAACTTTAACAGTGTACACCAACCAATGTACACTATGTCTATAGTACTCTAAAAGTAGATATTGCAGTTAACTAGTTTTTCAGGTACAGATTCGTGTCACTTGGCTTTAAGTTATATTCGAAATATAAGTGCTAGTGATACTATATAGTTCCCTAAACCAAAGCAAGTCGATCGTGGTTTGAACAAGTAACTACTGGGTCGTTACTACTCCTGGAATTATAATCTTATATTTTCTCTCTAAACTTTGAAATAATTTTTTAGCCTGATTTTTAATCCTTTTTAATGAATATTATTCCTTTTTAAAATACACATTGATAAATTAATTATAACAGGTATTTGATGAATTTGAAGAGTTCCGTAAAGTCTATGGTCCTGTAGATCGTCTACCAACTCGTATGTTCTTTGTAGGACCTAAGATTGCTGAAGAATTTCCAGTAAGTAATTCATGCGAACTAATTTTTTTCAATAGAGAATTTCATTATTCCATTTTGTCCCTCACTTCTTACACTATTAGAATGTCAATATCTGTTTTAGAAAGCTCCGTCCTTTAGACTGTCATATTTTTAAAAACATCTTAAGTACTGCGAGTGTTTTTTATTGTAATTAACAAGTAGTGTGTACACGAAAAAATTCTCCTATCTGTATAGTTTAAAAAACAACATCCATATACGGTTTGTACCTTGGTGTTGTTAATATTCATGAATGTTGAACAAATGGTGTCTGTTGGGATTTAAAAGCTTAGAAGAAAGTGTTTCTTGAGATGTATAACACTACTCTGGACCACCATGTTGTTAACATCTACACTGAATAGTGTACAAGTACATTCATCAAACTCATCAAAAATAAGATAAAAAACGTGATAAGAACTTCACCACTAAGCATTATTTAAAAATACATCAATGTAATGACATGCACTGTCTATATGTAAATTGCCATCCCGTCAGTTTATATTTGTTCTTCTTTATTTTCCATAACAATAGTTTAAATATACCTTTGTTTACTAGTTTACATTATGGACTGACCTTAGTTAAGTAACCATTGGAAACCAGGATGGCTGTTTGGTTCTATCATGGAACGGTTCGCATATTGAGTGTGATGCACTTAACCACCAATGACATTGAACGTCAGTTGCACAGTATTGCAAATTAACTGAAGTCGAAAATGTAAACTATTAGATTCCAGCATAATAGTCTGAACGTTCACTGCTCGACACAAAACTCCAAGTCATTGATTCCATCTCCTGTAGGGTCATGAGGTCATTGCTCACTGCTTCCTGATTTTCAATTGTTATCTTACCAAAGTTATCCCGTGATGTAAATTACGAAATTAATATTCTATGTGAAGCACCTACTAAAAATTTTGACGAACGATTCATTGATTTTCTTACATAGTTCGAATGTTCTTTCAATATCATGCAATTCAATTATTTCCATGTCTCGCTTAATCATCAAATTTTAACTGACCATCATCTTAAAATAATATCTATAGTGTTGCACCATCTAAACTTATAATACACAACTAACTAGTAATTATCTTATACTGAAGAGTTATATTATGAATAAACAATTTGGAGTTCTGAGAATTTTTAGTTTCATATCTGTGTATCTATCTACCTTCCCCCTCTATCTCTCTCTCAATGATTTATATTGGATTCCTATACAATGGACCGTTAGTTCCAGACAAGGTGCATATAATTTTAATTCTAGGATACAAATTATTTATCTTTGATATGAGTGTGTTCAGATAGTCCCGTCAGAATAAGTATTCTTTTTTATCTACACGTTAAGTTAACATATTTGTTTCACATATGATAAACAATTCCTTAAACAGGTTGACTTGGAGACCGGTAAAATGTTACACATTAAAACATTGGCTGTCGGTGAATTAACCAAATCTGGAGAACGTGAAGTTTTCTTCGAAATGAATGGCCAACTTAGATCAATTTTGATTAATGATAAAGAAGCTACAAAGGTGAGTTTGAAGATATGCTTCTCTAATTTCTCTTTTTACTGATACCTCCAAATTAATCTACCAAGTACGAAACATGACATTGCCCGGTACTCAGGGATCAGTCGATGTATTTATCTTGGTTACAAAAGATATCTGTTCACAATTGAATGATCACTGGGTGGTGATCAATGTTGTATTTCTCAGGTCCTTGTTAGTGCAGATCGAACCCTTTCGACCAAGTTGCAATGTGGCTACTAGTCTAGATGACTCGAAATTAAGTGCACCATGTTGAGATAATATGGTGGTTGGAGGTAGTCTGCATGAGGATAGTCCTGGTAAATTTAAGATTATTTTTCTACTGTACGAAATAACACAAATCTAGGAGATATAGAAAACAAAACGAGTTATGAAACCTGTTAAACGTATATGCATGAGAAACATTCAGGGTGGGAAGTATATAAACTTTCATAGCTTTTGTCCTATATCCTGTAAATATGCCTTGAACAAAGAGTTATGTTTACCAGGTAAGAATTGGGGAGCGGTAACAGACAGTTGTCTTCCCAAAAATAGCGAAGCTCAGTTGTTCGCGAAGGAATGTAATAATGGATGTCTTAATAATAAAGTTTATGTAGATACTTTTATAAATTCTTTTTGTTTGGGTAATTATAAGTTTGCCAACACAGTTATATAATGCCAAAATAACAGATCGTCTACACATTCCTTAATACCTCAACCATGATTCCGAGATCTAACGGACTTCATGTTTTTTTCCCATCCTCATAGCCGTTACTTTCACGCTGTCATTTATTCGTACTCAAGAGAACTTGCTGGTAGCGAGATGCCAGCTAAGTTCATATTGTATGCTCTACCTGTTTGACGCCAAGATGTCCATCTTGACCTGACGATATGAGTTATTTATGCTTCGAATTTTATCAAGCTTTACACATTACGATTTAGATTCCTTTCACAGAGAATCCTACTGAAACTCACTTCATTCATCAGACTTCAGATGATTTTCTTGTGCTTTACATCGAAAACTATAGTTATATAGCCGTTGAAAACTAGGAATAAATAAACGGTCACTCCGTTCTAGCATGGGAGCTTCTCAGTAGCTGTGCTTACCTACGACCTTACTGGAGACCGAGTCCATGACCGTGGGGTATCTTGAAGAGCAGTTAACCCTTAGACCACTGAGTTGATATCCAAATTCAGGATATTCTTTACACATTATTTGTCTACAAATGCCATTCTCTCCCATACAAACTCCTTTCATCTTATTTATTTTTTGTTCCTAGTCGATATCGTTTCATCCGAAAGCTTTGAAAGGTGTCAAAGGCTCCGTTGGTTCACCGATGCCTGGTGAATTAGTAACAATCAATGTGAAAGAGGGAGATGTCGTAGAAAAAGGTCAAAAATTGGCTACATTGTCAGCGATGAAAATGGAGATGAGCATAACAGCACCCATTTCAGGTTGTATTAAAAAAATTCACGTTTCCAGTGGAATGAAAGTATCTGGTGATGATTTATTATTCGATATAGAATAAAACTATTCATTTATTTCATTATACTACCTATATTTAGCCTTAATTTATGATCTTATATTTCTATATTATTGTGTGATAATCACCAAGTAGCAATATTTATATTTTACTTTGATTCCGTTGTAACAAAAGCAACAGCTCTAAAAAGACTATTTCCTTCGTATTATACACATGAAGATAGCTGTACATCGAACTACTTTGAAAAATATTCCTTGGTAACTGTATGTGTATGTTTGTTGTTCTGTGGTTATCTTCACTTGCATTATTAGAAATACAAACAAATCTTTCTTTGTCTATTGTTGTTTTCTTTCCGTGAAACTAAGTACCAACAGTTTGTCTTGGCTTAGTTTGCCTTAATTTTATTGTTAGATACTTTACGATCGCGTTGGATACCATTTATTTCCCAGAACGAACGTCTATCATCTCAAGGCTTACCTGTTGTTGCTGTTAAAATAATCTTACGAAGTGAAATGTATTTTTCTCCCAAAGACGTCCACCTGCCCAATATTAAGACAGTACTAGTGATATCGGACTACACAGAACAGTGTATACGTTGCAACTCTGCAGAAAAAAATGAGTCGGTACCAAGTGTTAGATCCAACGTGACAGCGTACTCGGTAACGAAAAATTCAGGTTTTTTTTAGCTTTTCCAGATACTTATATGTGAATGTAATTGGTTCTAAAACAAGTGATCGTATAGTTCGTATCACTACTCCAATCCGGTGTCTTTCGCTCCAAATACAGGCACATCATTCTCTTAGCTACTGATACTGGACAAATACTCGCCTACCTAACTGGTATGATAATTTCACCATGCTCAAAAAGAAATGGGAATATCCCATTGTTTATATTACCAGCTGAATCTTGATTAATCCTCGTTGATATGTGTACCTTTGAGCCGCGGATAAGACATCAACATGCAGCTGACGAGTTTAAAGCAGGGCGAAACGCGCCTCTTGGATCCTGTTTGTAGCTACATTCGAGCTCCATAAAAATATTTGCGAAATAGCCACATCGACCCAGTAGATACACGATGCATTTCTAACCTCTATTGGTCTCTGCAATGAGAAGCAGCCAACACAACACAAGAGAATTATTTCCCGTAACTCATTAGTTTTTTGGTCGCTGTACACCACATTAACATAAAGGACAAGACATCGGTCATTGCTCTGTGACCAACAAACATAAGCATTTTAGCATGGCTTTGGTTTTTCACGCTAGAAGATATTTGCAGATAAGTTCAAATGTAACTGAACTAAAAGTTATCAATACTTTGATAGCAGTGTTTCCGAGGTCTATTTAAATGACGATAAATATGTGCCATCATGACTACCGCGTAACTACTTCGTGGATAATTCTCTAAACATATGTACTAGGTGATACAGAATATTGTATGATGACTTCCGGATTTCCAACTTCGTTCTATCTACAAGTACGTGAAGTTTTTATACCGATTGTATCTGTCTAGTTTGTGGTGCTTCTACATCTTGCTTCAAGTCGCACATCAGCCTGTATACCATAGACTAAAAACTGGTAATGTTAAGACTTATGCCTTGACGACATTTTAATACGTTTTCATTTCCATCTTAAGAATTCCCTGGAATATATGGTACAAAACATCTGAGTATAAATTGTGGTTAGACCATATTGCAACGCTGAGTGATCAATTATAAGTATAAAGGCTTTTAATATTTTGTTCAGAACTGTAAAATGCAGTGAATGCTAGAATTCAGACAATGAATAAATTTTATGTTGTCTGAAATATCAGGTTGTGTCATTAACAAGTTTTTGTTTATAACTGAGATGCACATTCATTTGACCTGAGGTTAATCTGAACTAATGAATGTAAGTCCCGTATGTACTGAATATACATAGATGATCTAGAACTACATCTTTTCGCATTGTAAGGTCAGTGAAATCTCACTGAGCTCTAGCCAAAACAAGCAGTAGGGTCACCGAACGTCGAACAGTTCACTTATCCTCATCAAGGTCAAGGACAGCCAACGTTTAGCAGTCAATTGAATGGTATGAACTCGCTTGTGCGGTAGTGGTCGCACGCTGTTCCTTGTACTTGCTATTACTAATATATTTCTGTAACAACTTCGTTTGTGTTGCACAGCCGCCAAAGCAGCTATAGTACATGGATATGACGAAAATGTAACCCACGTTGGGTACTAACTTGAAGCCATCACAGAAGCATAAGTCATCTATTTTTATCAAACGGTTGGATCTCAATAGTAGTACCTGGCTTTTTGATTTGCTCAACAAGGTAATGTTAAATGATCTAATTTGGGAAGCGTTGTGTAAAGACTCTGATCGAAAGGGATTTCGAGCTCAGAGTCTTGAAGAGCTCTACTTTTATCAGTTAAAATAACCTTTACGATTACGAAGAGAAAGAATGCCAACCTGTCATAATGCATTTTGACCTCGATGCTCAACAACGGTCGGATCATCAATTTGAATGAAAGTTTGAGACGTAAAACCCGGAAAAAAACTAAAAGAAGTGAATATGTCACAGAAACCTGGCTGACACAGTCTATAGGTAGTATGAAACTTGATTTCGAAGGTTTTACGTTAGTAAGGGTCGACAGAATATAAAAGCGTAAAGGAGAGGGAGTAGCTCTATTCATTAAGAATGCTATCCCGTGAGACGTGTGAATTGGTTAGTTGCCGCTTGGAATGAAAGGGACAAAAGCTTCTGATTGGTTTGGTCTATCGCATTCCAAGCTGTGAGGTAAATGATGTCCTGCTAAACAGTCTCAATACTTAGTCACAAAGTGGTCGATGTCTAATCCTAGGGGACTTTAATGCACCTACGGTAGACTGAGAAAATTTGCGAACTGAATCGTCAGATAATTCCTTTAAGCTGGAACTAGTTGATGCGGTTATCACATGTGCCCTAGTGCAACATGTGAAGGAAGCGACTAGGTACGACCCGGACACTGAATCATACTTACTAGATCTTATATTGACTCACTATGAGGATGACGTTGCGAGCCTCCTTTACATGCCACTCCTAGGTAAAAGTGATCACGCAGTTTTAACTTTTGACTTCCATATAACTGTCAATCACGAACACGCGTCAGCTCAATCCAGACCTAACGTCTGGAAAGCAAACACACCAGATATCATGCACTCGGCATCATTAGTAGATTGGACAATTGACCCAGAGTCCTCAAGTGATACGGCTTGGGACACACTCCGAAATTCAAACTTAGAAGTTACCGCACCCCACACCCCTTGGACTATACCAAGAAGGCCGAGAAACTTCCCACCATAGCTCAGTAGGGAGGTCCGCATCCTTCTCCGTAAGAGGAGAAAAATGTGGGATAGATTTAGGTTACCGGGGACTGATAAGAAAAAATTTCAGCATCGAAAAGTTCGGAATACCTCTGCCTTAACCCTCCGTAAGTCTAGAAAGTTGTACCAAGAAAAAGTTGTTAAGGAATCCATAGAATGTTCTAAACGCTTGTATTCCTATATAAACTAAAGTACAAAAATATGAGGAAATATTCCTGCACTATGGGGAGACAGTACTGCCGCATCATTAGTGGAGGATGACTTTGGTAAGGCTCAAGTGTTCTCAAAATACTTTAGCAATGTACATACCATAGAAGCACAATTCCCGTCAGCGCACTCCACACAAACACCGGATAGTGTGGTCATTAAAGAACTTGATATCTTTGATCTGCTAAATAAGCTTGACATTATAAAATCAACGAGACCTGGTGAACTGCTTCCTAGGTTACTATAGGAACCCTTTAAATATATGCTTTAAGCTATCCGTATCGCAAGGTCATTTACCAAAAGACTGGAAGAACGACATAATAAATTCTGTCTTCACAACAGGTACGAAACATAAACCTGAGAATTACTGAACCTTTAGTCGAACTATTGTGGTTGGTAAAATCTTAGAAAAGATTATTCGGAAGGAGTTGTTTAAGTACCTCGATGTAAACCGGATTGTTTCGGAGAAGCAGCACGTTTTCAGAATGGGTTATTCTTGTCTCACTAACTTATTAGTCGCTCATGAAAGCTGGTGTGCTCTTAGGGACCAAAAGTTACTTGTAGACGTAACCTACATTGATTTCAGCAAAGCTTTTGACAAAGCTCCACACACTAGCTGTTATATAAGTTAATAAATGTCGGAATTGGAGGCGATCTATTGATGTGGATAAAAGACTTCCTTGTTGGGCGCCAACATAGAGCACGGGTTAACGCAAGTTACCTAGCAGGGAAACTGTACTTAATGGAGTGCCCCAGGGTACAGTTTTAGGGCCAGTGCTATTCCTCTTGTATGTAAATGAACTTCATTCCGTATGATGCTCGACTGGCCAAGCTAAACCTATTCCCTTTGTCATATCGTAGAACTAGAGGCGACATGATTACAGTTTTCAAATTGCTTAGTGATAAATTTGCACCTGATGTGCCCTCATATTTCTTGTCTTCCAAAACAGAGAATTTACGAGGGCACTCCAAAAAAGTTCACAAGCCCAGAACAAGTTATTTGTCAGCAACGAGTAGAATTCATTACCTCACAACGTATTTGAAGCCCCATCCGGCGATACTTTCAAAAGAAAGTTGGATCACCAATACCAGGACTAACACAGGCCATCAAGCCTCCTGTACTTTCCAAACTGGAACTGAATTCTATTGAATACTGAAACTTCGTTTTCTGAATCTGGCGTTTCCAATCAAGGTCATTTAACGTCAATATTTGTTCCATTTTAGTTTGGTAATCTGAGTTTTGGACGTAAGTCAGTCTGAATAATTTGCCATGTATATAGTTCACTGTAGCACTGTCCTCTTTTCTGTTTTGCCTGTCTCGGCTGCGAGATCGTTCCATGCCAAACTTTTTATCCCATTTTCTATAACCATCCTAAATAAAAAAATAGGAGAAATAAAAGGAAACAAATGGAAAATTGTCTTTTATTCTTGGAGGGGCTCTTTTCTATGCGGACACATTTTCATCCAATCGTCTGCGTCGAACAATTAGTTTAAATTCGCAGATCAAATGAGGCACGGAAAGTAATGACAAACTTAAGGATAATATAGTTGGCAATGCATTAGATAGTTACCTTTTTAGGTCGGTAGAAATATTAAGACTTTTCTCACGATTTCCCACCTTTAGAGGAAATGCCTCGAAATTAACACCATAACGCTCTCACAAATAACCTAATTCATGAGACCAGAGACAGTTTAGAATTTCGCTTACCCTGAATTAGGCTACGAACAGACATCGAGGTACCGATTGATAATAACAATTATGCTTTGGTTGAATCTATGCAAATCTG